GGTTGAACAAATCTATCTTCTTAAAAATGAGAGATACAGTCAAGGAGTTACGCCCGGACGATCGGTTATGCAGCCTAATTTTTGATGAAATGTCAACATCCCTCCAAATACATTATAATGCTACAAAAGACCAGCTTAGGGGGTTTACAATTGATGGCAAAAAATAGCACACCATGTACTAGTCTTCATGGTGAAAGGGCTAAAAAGAGTTAGCAAACCATTGCTTATTATTTAGGGAACGCAATCAATAAGAGCCAATTAAAAGTCATTTTAATTAATGTTATAAATTATGTTCAAAGCACAGGACTGAACATTTTGTGTCTGTGATCATAGCACAGTAAATGTTAGTGTAATAGATGAACTAATAGAAGATAAAAAATCTATTAAAAAAAGGAATGGAAAAAGGAAATCATTGAAATAGGGAAATCAAAAATACCCCACTCTTTGATGTCCTACAGTTAATTAAGGGAGTAAGAAATAACCTACTTACAAAAGATTTGAAATACTACGATTTTGAAGAGAAGAGCGAAAAAAACAAATGGGAATATTACCAAAAAGTATAAGAAGCCGATAAATCCTATGGAGAATTGAAACTTCTACATAAACTTACTGATGAACACAGTCATATATGTTGAAAAAGATAGGAAAATGAATGTGAAAGCAGCTACACAAGTTTTTAGTCACAGCGTAACTGTAGTTACAGAATATCTCACAGCAAGAGAGAGACCTCCCCGAAGAATGCCGAAATTTAATCAAATTTACGAAACTAATCGATTAATAATTTATTTAACTCAAATGGTAATTTATAAAGGATTTGTTCGCAGGTCTACATCGCACCATTGTTTGTTGAAAACAGAAAAAACAGAAACAGAACAGAAGCTGGTTTCTGCATTATAGCGATAAGGGATCTAGTGGAGGAACATAGAATTGAAATGCTGAGGCGACGTTTCCTATACTATTGAAGTATGTAGAGACACAGCCAGCAACCTACTTAACGATTAACATACACCTTCGGATAGTTGCAGATTATTAAGGGGAAAAATACATAGCAGGCACATAAGCCGAAAAAAATATTTTGTGCGAGCAATGTATGGACGGAGCGCCGGCACATTTCTCCCGAAATGTGAGGGCACACAGTAATGCTATTTTTACGCCATGGATCGGACGAGGCGGTACGATCGCTTGGCCACCTCGTTCACCAGACTTAACACTCTTGACTTCTTTCTTTGGGTCACAATGAAGCAGGGGAATTAACGGGAAGTTCCAAACACCAAGGAGGAGCACCTTTAAAGGACTGGGCAAAACCCTTTACAGTAAAAACACGCAGTAGGCTCAAGCAATATAATTTTTGAAGTGTTACCCGTAAGCTCGCGCTACGATTACACGACAAATATATGATTTGAACGTTTATGTCTGTTTAAGAAGGGGCTGATATTGTCTTCAGGTTACAAGCTACATTATGTAGAAACTATACAATAATAACTAACACACAACTCAGTTGCGGTGTTATTCGGTTTTCTTGACAGCATAGGTTAACTTAACCATATTAGAATGCAGAATGCTTAAATAACGCAATCCACTATCCTCTCTCTTTGGAACCGGGTGAACACCAATTAAGCACAGTAAGGGCATATGAGTCGCGAAAAGTAAGTAAGTCCTCTCGTAAATTAAGAATAAACCATAAAGATCCATTCGAAGAACTTTTGAATGTAATTAAATATGTGCATAATGTAGAATAAATTATATGAAGCAGTATTGTCTCTTTTTTACCTTGTTAATTATGAAATAAGTTATTCTTTGAATTGGGTCGTAAGAAGGGGGAGTCTCACTTATAATATTGTTTTAGATGAGCTGCAGGACCTGTTGCAACAACCATTTTTCTAGAGCATTTTAACAATTTATTTGATTTACTCAATGCGCAAGCATGCGCCAGACAAGCAAGCAATCAGTATGTATGTATAATATTAATTAAAAGATTTTGTTTAATACAGAACAGAAGATCTCCACTGAATCTGCCAAGTAAAGGCTGGCAAAAAAAAAATGAAAATTCATAACTCCTTGTTTTATTGAAGCAGCTAGTTTTAGTTTTTCTAGAGGCCAATAAACACGCGCACGCTTTTAGTCGGCAGAGTTTATGGGATGGGAAGAAAAATTGAGAATATGTTGACATGGGGACAGGAACTTCAAAAAATTGCCAAACCCTTGCCTCTGAAGCATACGTATTTTTAATAAAAGGTATCAATGAACATTTCTAGTAACCTCTAGGATATTTTCTGTTGCATGATTTCAACAGAAAGTTAATTTAATCAACTTATGCCTGTTAAAATGTCATGATGCTGGTGTAAAAGTAGCATCCTTAACATTCGATGGATATTCAACTAATAAATAGAAATTACTGGATGGAAAGTTCTTCTTCGTCATCTACGTAGAAGAATTGAAGACCACTTTAAACATCCTGCAGTTAATTCTGAGCCTGTCTTGTACAAAATAACTGGCATTCTAAAAGTTATGTTACACAACAATAACAATAAAATTGACTGGGCTGATGTGAATTAAATAATCTTTAAGAAGATGAAGGCTTACACTTCGCTAACAAGCTGACACGAAGGCATATTATGAAAGTAAAATTTTCTTGTCAAGTCATGAAAAGGCGTGGTAACAGCGTTACAATTTTGAATAGAGGATGTTAAACCTTTAAAAATTTCGAACCAACTGAACGTTTTCTAATTTCTAAGAAACATAAATCGTCTTTTTGATATATTTAACTCTCGAAACATGAAGCAATTTGATTATGCAACGTTTGAACAATCGTAACAAAGTTTTTATATTCCGAATGATGAATCGAGAAACGTCAATGTCAACTAATGAAGCTGACCGAATGATGAACCGAGAAACGTCAATAACGTCAATGTCAGATTACTCAAGCGGTACTTCACTCATTCAGTGTCAAGATCGGCGTAGTGTCATGAACATAAACAATTGCGATGTTTTCCACAATAAATCAATTAAAAATGCGAAATTATGCGGTCACGAGGTAAAGTGTTTAGTGGATACGGGCAGTGATTTAAATTTAATCAGTGATAAACTGTTTAATAACATAAAATGTCATGTTTCAGATTTCGAAGGAGAGAAAATGTCTCTCATAGGATTGGGATCGTGTAAGGTGCACTCATTTGGTAAGTTTACAGCTAGTTTAGTTATCGATGGTCACAAGTGTCATGTTTCTTTTCCCGTGATTCCCACAGAGGTAATTCCATATCAGGTTATTTTGGGTCAACCATTTTTAGTAAACACAATAGTCATTGTTGACAGAGGTGAAGTTGAGGTTAGGTCACAGTTTTATGACAGTTCATATCAGATGTGTATGTTTTCTAGCTGCGAGGAACAGAGTGAAATCCCAGTTATCCAAGAGATTATAGACAGTTACAAACCACTGAAAGTGAAAGAAGCACCAATCAAATTAAAGATAGTGTTGAAAGATAACATCCCAGTTTCACAACGATCACGAAGATTCGCTTTGGCCGAAGAAGCATTGGTGAAGGAGTTTGGAACGGCTTCATTGAGATGACGGACGAGTGCGCTTTTGGCCTGGCGCTATTTAATGTTAAGGCGCCTCGCCATATGTCCCATAATGGCCATAATGTACCAGTACCAGTGAAGAGTTCCTACAGAACAAAGATCCTGGCTTCGTAAACGATCAATGTCAATTGACAATCACGTAGAATTGACAATCGCAATTAATCGTCTCGGGGCCACTTAACTTTGCTAGTGAGAAGAATATCGATAGTGGAAATATCAATTACTGTAAGGGACAAAACACGACTTTTCAGGAGAGCCAAAAAACGATTTTTTTTTTCTTTATACCTCAATATCTTTTTATGTGATGTTACGATTTAAATAGTTTCTATGGCAAAGTTTCTTAGAATTTTCTGTTCTTTCATAATATAAACGCCAAATTTTCTAAAAATAGGTAGTTTAAAAGATAGCATGTCCCTTACATTAAAAAAACGAGCTTGACTGTACCTTACAATGTTGAAATTTCACAGTATGGAATGTCATGTATGTTGTAAGGTACATTTAAGAATAAACACGACAGTAATATTATTGTAACTTGACAATTTTAACATTGAAACCTGATGTAAGTAGAGGTTGCATTCGAGTATTCATTAACAAAACGAAGAGAAGAGATAGAAACAAGACAACTTAGTGTTCACAAATACCTCTAAACTCAGTCTGAACTGAGTTACGAGCATTACAAGTTTAATTATTTTCATACTAGATTTGCTTTTTGCGCGCAAGTTTTGTAAGAAATTGCAACAAAATATTGCGCTATTTTTTTATTGCGCTGATTCTGCTGCATACTGATGTCTGGAGCCTTTAATGGATGGTATTGTTTGTTTACACATAAAATGTCATTATTTTGTTGCAATTTCTTACAAAACTTGCGCCCAAACAGCAAATCTAGTATGAAAATCATCAAACTTCTGATGCTCGTAACTCAGTTCAGACTGAGTTTAGAGGTATACATGTCATACTAAGTTTGATTTATTACACTATTTTGTAATCAAAAAACAAGGTTTGGTCGATGGCCGCGCGAAAAAAAAAAGACGCCAATTTCCGGCATTGTCTTTTCACGGTGTTATAGTAGTCGTGTTATAAAGCTACCCTAAATACATGCACATAACACACAAATACAATAGACCAGTCAAAGTCACAATTATTAAATATTATTTACCTGTTTATGATTTTTGTTTAAGATGGGGCGCTATGTAAGAAAAACTGAAGGTCCTTCATGGTCCAAAGCAGCTTTGAATGAAGCAGTCAAAGCTGTTCAATCAGGTAGGATGTCTGGGTATGTAGCTGCGAAAACCTTTGCTATCCCAAGAAAGACTATTATGGACCACGTCACAGGTCGAAGGGGCCAAAAGTCATCAAGTCTAGGCAGACCACCAGTATTTAAACATGAGACAGAAAAAAAGATGGCAAAATGTTTGCATATAATGGAAAGGAATGGCTTCGGCCTGACTCGTACAGAATTTCTAGAGGTTGTTAAGGATTATGTCAAGCAGAACGATCTAAAAACACCTTTCAATGATGATACTCCCGGCAAAGATTGGTTTTTAAGCTTTAAAAAGCGTTATGAGCTGTCAATTAAAAAACCGCAGGCTGTAGAGGTTGCTCGTAAGAAAGCCGCAGACCCATTTATTATCCAAGAATTTTATGATATGCTAGAAAGAGTGATTGACGAGTTAGGGCTTCATGGCAAGCCTGAAAGAATATATAATTTAGATGAGACAAGTTACTGCAGTGATCCACAAAAAACTAAAGTCATAGGTCTTAGGGGATTTCCATCGACACGGACTACATCATCCTCCGGAAAGTCAAATACGACAGTTTTGATGGCGAGCAACGCTGCTGGGGAGAAAGGAGCTCCATTCATAATTTTTAAAGGGAAGCACGTATGGAGTAATTGGACCTCTGATTCAGCGTACCCTGGAACGTTGTACACAGCCACATCAAATGGCTGGATAGAATCGCAAGTCTTTTTGAAGTATATTGATAAAAGTTTCATTCCAATGATTGGCGATACGACTCAGCCAACACTTCTCATCTATGATGGCCACAGCACTCATGTACAACTAGATGTAATCGAAAAAGCCTTACAGCACAACATAACGATCTTAAAATTACCTCCCCATACAAGCCATATTCTGCAACCGCTGGACTTGGCGGTTTTCAAGCCTTTCAAAGATGCCTGGGACCAGGAAATGGTCAAGTGGCAAAGAACCCACAACGGGCAAAAATTGCCCAAAGACGAGTTTTCGAGGATAGTTGGAAAAGTGTGGGAAGCCCTTAACCCCGACATTATAAAAAATGGATTCGCAAAAAGCGGTATTTACCCATTTAACAGGGATGCAGTTCCCGAACATAAATTAGACCCAGACGCTGTAAAAAGATGGAAAAAGATGCTGGCTAATAAACAAGCACCTCCTCAGTACTCACCGATGACGTTGACTAAATTGTGCCTGAAGAAAATCAACTTTTCATTGAACTTAAACACAATTAAAACTTCAACAAGCAACATAAACTCAAAAACCACAGAAAAAATATCGTTTGAAGATTTATTACTGGAAACTATAAAACAAGTTCCGACTCCTGGTCTCAAAAAAAAACAAGTAAAGCTTTCTGGAAGCGCTGAAGTATTAACTCATGAGGATGTTCTAGCAAGACTGAAGAAAAAGGAAGATGACAAACTTAACAAAGAAAAAGAAATGGAAGAAAAACGAAAAATAAGAGAAATCAAGAAAAAACATAAAATAAACGAACAAACTAAAAAGCAAAATAAAGAAAAAGGCAAGAAAGATAACATAAATAGCAAACGCAAAGAGCCTACGGAAAGTACAATAACGAATTTAGTTGACCCTAACACAAATGACATTGCAATTGCAAGCACGTCCGGTTTGACCATCCAACAAAACTCACAAAAACCGACAACGAGAAAAACCGTAACTGTTTTGCAAGATACATATTTAGAACCAAATGAAAAACTATCTCGTGAAGATATATTTTTAGGGCAAAAACCTGTTCAACCGAGAGAAATTACTTTAAAAACTTTAAAAAAAGATGTAAAAAAAAAGCCTGTTCAACCGAGAGAAATTACTTCAAACACTTTAAAAAAAAAATGAAACAATTAGAAAAATTAAATCCGAATTCAAACAAACAAAACCAAGAAAGAAGAAACAGAACAAACAAATAGAAGATGACTTGTCAACCGATAGTGAATTTAGTCTTCATGATTCAGATGATTCAGAAATTGGTGACTTAAAAACGTATATTGACAATTGCTTAAAAGAAAATGATTCAGAAGAAGAAATAGAAAATATGTCATTCGGATTTAGCGACATCCAGTATTATGAAGAAAAATCACACAAATTTACAAAACAGGACTGGGTACTGGTTAAATTTGCGGAAAAAAAAAGCCTGAAGCACTACGTGGGGCAGATTGTCAACATTTATAACGACATTCCTACCGTAAAATTCTTAAGAAAGATACAAACTAAACAGAGATTACTTCATTTTGTATACCCTAATGTTAACGATATATGTGAAGTGCTGAATGTTGAAGACATTATTTCAATTTTGCCAAAGCCTACAATTTCACGTCGGGGCCAAATTTCTTTCAGCGTTGATTTTGGTGGCTTTAACATACAGTAACGAATCGTTTTTAGTTAGCTGTTTCTACAAACAGTATTTTTATATGCTTTATTTAGTTTAGATAATTAGGATTCTCATTTATAAAGTTACACTCATTTTTTATAATGTACCAAAGCTGAAGTGCCATTTCTTAGATATTAATTACTTTTTAAATAATAAGACCATTGAAACTTTGAGACTAAAGTCAACGAAGACTGATTACGTTCTTACTTAAGTAATACTTCTCCAAAGAATTTATCAAAAGTTAATGTTTAAGCATTCAAGTGATCCTAGCAGTAAGTTTTTGCAATATATCGCGCTACAGCAAATGCTGTTACTTATTTTTAATACTTACAAATATTTTAATAGTACTTATTTAATTAGGTAATAAGACTGAAATTTGTTACGTACCAAAACTCAAGTGCCATTTCCAAAACATAACGTAAGTTCATTAGGTATTCGCCTACTGTTTGTTAATATGTAATAATTTTACTTGATCTCTTTCACTCTTGTTAAGTTGTTGTCTGGGTAACAGGCCTTGCTTGGTAAATATTTTTGATTATTTTTTACAACTAATTTTTAGAAGATGTTTTTTTTTGTTTTCGTCACCTAGTACTTATTGTTAAGAATTTATAATAAATACCTACTTATTATACTTAATGTTTAACTGATTTTAAATCCTTTTTAAGGTTCCGTAGTAAACTATGAACTTTAACTATGAACTATGAACTTCCGTAGTTAACTATGAACTACTTGACACTCGATTATCAATATTAAGAAAAAAGGTTTATATCCCCTGATTTAAGATAGTATGGCGCACTTAGCCGAAATTTGGTTTAAAATCCATAGATTCTTCTAGAACGTGGCTATAAAAAAAAAGAAAGTATTATGCGTTTCGTTGCTTGTTTTCTTATAATAACGTATGTCTGTTTTTATTCTAATGCTTTATTATTGCGTTTTGTTAATACCAGGCGCACTTCCCCGATTTGTCGGTAAAGTGCGCCTAGGGTACATGTTTTATAATTTTGTGCTAAAATTCATTGTTTTACTGTTCAGATTCCAATGGCACGAAATTGGTTGTAGTTGTAAAACATCACAGATCCTTTTGGTACGACAAGTGTCATTCGTGAACTTAAGTAACACAAGTTATATTGCACTAAAGTCAACTATGCAAAAAGTATGGCGCACTTTGCCCCCCTCACCTTACAAATTGTTGTATAGGCCAATTATCAATAGGCAGTGAAAGTCAAACCGGTCCTTTAAACCAAAGTTCGTGCTGAATTAACTGCGCGGGCGTAAGTCCGCGAGATACACAATCTGCGGGGTTTTGTACGCCGGGAATGAAGTATAACTTATCAGGCGAAATATTTGTTTGAATTTGTGAAATGCGGTTGGCAACATAAGTATCAAATCTATGTGGCGAAGCGACCGACCAACATAGTGCGACTTCTGAATCTGAGAAAGCGTAAATGTTATCAATTTCATATCTATTTGACATGCTGTCGTAAACGATTTTGAGAAAACGAGACATTAACCCTCCGTGTACGAGGTGACTAAAAGTTACGTCCCGTACCAGGTGGGGTATGACACACCCCAATATACAAAGTGATAAAATTTTCATTCAAAATTTTTTTAGGTGGAATGTAATATTTAATATTGATTATTTACGTATGCTAATTAGGTTTAAGAAATGCTCTGAGCTGAAAATATGTATTACAACATTTTTATCATAAAAAAACAAAAAGACACAATTTCCGTTGTACTTGTAATTTAGGAATCAGTTTCCTATGTATAATTTTTAATTAGTGCCTTTAATTATGACAACCGTTTTTATTTAACAAAGTACAAGTATTTACTTATAATTTAAAAGTAAATTAAAAACTGGAAGGGTATAAATTTGTTTTGATCATCGGTTTTCAATTTACCACAATTCTGATGAAAGAAAATGAGTATGCTCAATGCATAAAATGGGAGCGTAACAATTTTATTTATTTATAAAATATGTTATTCCATTTCAGTAGCCCATAAATTGTATCACCAAGTAGAATGCGTTGGTATATATAACTCATTTTGGCCAAAATGTCCCTTACATTAATTGATACTTCCACTAATGTCGCCGCAATACAATTTGACCAGTCCATCCAACTGGACTATCGACGATTTGGATTTTTGCAGTAGACTACATAGCATAGGTAAGTAGGATTTAAACTTCGGAAGTAAATAAATAAAATTATTAATCACTTGAACAAATATTTGTACTTATTTACTAACCTCAGTGTCACAACTATTGATGTGCCGTTCCCGAGAACGCTCTCCTCACTGAGAATATTCTCGGGAGCGCTCCCGGGAGCGTTCTCCTAAGTGAGAAAGGTTGAGAATCATGTTTATCAAACGGAAATAAACAAACTTTCTTAAGTAAAATAGTATTAAATTAAGTCGACAGATAAGTGTATATTAAACAATACACTCTATTTGCAGAGAAAGGCTATATTCTCAGTGTTCCCGAGAATATTCTCGGGAACTTTCTCGGCAATATTCTCGGCAACTGTTCCTTTATTATATTTTTTTTTTCGTCGTGAAATGTCGTTTTAATGATATGTAAGATGACAGAAATTTCTTTTTACATGCAATTAAATAATATAACTGTAAATTTTTTCGTTTTTAACACGCTTTTATTAGGTCGTCGTGTATGTAACTAACTATGTAATGGAATCTTAGAATCTGAATTACATGCATTTCTAAGTCTTGTATCATCATGAAACTTTATGCAGATTAGATGACAATACAATATTGTGGTACCAGCTGGTCTGATGATGGGACTGGAAGGTGGCCAAAGGAACTCCTAAACGAAACGGTGGAATCACATCGAGTTTGGGTTCATTGGATTTGTCTTTTCGATATCTTTAAGTGCTAGATAATGTCCAGGGTCCTAATGATGGAGTCAGGAGGTGGCCATAGGAACTCCTAAACGAAACGGCGGAAACTCATCGAGTTTGGGTTCGTTGGATTTGTCTTTTCGAGCACTTTAATGCTAGATGATGTCCAGGGTCCTGATGATTCCTGTTAGTAACTAAAAGCGTGTTTTTAGTTTTTTAAACTATTCTTTACATTTGACATTAAGGGCATATTTCACAATCGCTTATTAAGGGCCTGTTTCGCCACTTCTGGATAAGTTGTGGATAGCCTGTCTGACGGATCATTTGACACATTTTTATATAAAATACGTGCTAGCTAGATTGATCTTAGTCTGTACGAGATTAGAATGGTTCTCAAACAGCTGAAAAACAACAAGGCACCGTAATCACGGCTGAGCTTCTGAAAGCAGGTGGAACGCCGGTACTAAAGGCTTTTCAGAAGCTGTTCGATTCCGTCATCCTCAAGGGAATTACGCCTACGGCATGGCAAAGAAGTATGGTGATACTCCTCGTCAAAAAAGGCGACAAAACCTTGTTGAAGAATTATAGACCCATTTCGCTTCTGAGCCATATCTACAAGCTGTTTTTGATAGTCATTACGAATTGTCACGCTAGCAGGCTTGACAACTTTCAGCCCCCCGAACAAGCCGGTTTCTGAAAAGGCTTTAGTACCATAGACCATAATAATATACGCTACGGCAGATTATACGGAAGATCAAGGAGTATAATCAGCCACTTTGCGTTTGTGAACTATGAGAAAGCCTTCGATTCGATTGAGACATGGGCACTATGGGCAGTGCTGCAGTCTCTCCAACTGTGCCAAATTGACTATCGATACATTGAAGTGTTGAAAGGCTTGTACAAACACGCCATAGTAACAGTCCGTTTCAAGATCAGGACCCGAAACCTATCCAGTTGCAGCGAGGGATGAGACAGGGAGACGTCATCACCACCGCCCTAGAAGATGTTTTCAAGCTTCTGGGCTGGAGCGGATTTAGCAGGAAGATCTAGGCACAATGCTCGATGGCCTCAATAGAGTCTCTCAACAAGTGGGTCTCAAAATGACCATGGACAAGATTTAAAAATCATGTCTAAAAACCGTGTTGCTACTCCTCTAAAAGTTGGAGACTCTACACTCGAAGTTGTTGACAACAATGTATACCTGGGACAAACAGTCCAGTTAGGTAGGTCCAACTTCGAAAAAAAAAGGTCAATCATCGAATCCAGCTCGGTTGGACAGCATTCGGGAAGCTTCACGATATTTTCACGCGGCGTCTCCGTCGCGTCGCCGCTCCGCTTTAAATCCGCTTTGAATCCACTTGAAATCCGCCAGAGTGGCAAGGGCCTTAAAACTCAGAGGCACACTCATGTTCAAATACCGTAGCCGAGTCCTAAAGCCGCAGCACGCGTTCGCCACGAAAAGCGTGAGCAAGACAGCAATATTTCACTCACACGTTTCATGCCTTGTTTATGACGACTAGTTTTAACGCCCAGTTAATAAAACATCGAAGCATTACAAATAATACCACATATAAACAACAAAATTAAAATTAAAACTAAATGTATTCTGTCGAGAACACTGAGAATATTCCCGGGAGCGTTCTCGGTTCTCGAGAATATTCTCACTGGGAATATTGCCGGGAACGAGAACTTTCTCAGCGGCACATCTCTAGTCACAACCAATCTTTCAGTAGGGTACATAACAGTGTCGTGATGCCTCAATTTATCATGTATCAAGCTTAGTAGTTTATGAAATGTTGTAATATTAATTCTGAAATAATTTACAAATTCTTCTTCATTTTCCCGCAAATCGTTATGTCAGCGTATGAAATTCTCCAAACTCTTCTCGTCGTGTTAAGATAGGGTGAATCCAAAATCTTGTTTCTCTTTTTTTTTCTTTGCATTGTCGGTACAAGTAATATGCAATCACCATTTTTACTTGTTTGTCAAGTAACTCATGACGAATACGTGTGTATTTAGAGAAGTACCAAAAGCAACTGAATGAGTTAAGGTCGCATTTGTAGCGTCAAGGGATTCTTTGATAAATTAATTTTAACTTTAAATGTAGTTACTGAAGAGCTTATTTTACTATAACAGTCGACTCTTGAAAACGCGTACCCGGTGGCCACGAGGTGAAATAAAGCTATCGCCCGGCCGCTGCAGAGCCTCTCAGCATCCCATATAAACGGGCCCTTAGGTTTTAAATAATAATTAGGGGACTTCTCGTCAAAGATACTTGTCTTCCGTGCCAGATTCTTCTCTTCACAATAATTATTAATACCCTCATCAATGGTCTGAACGATTCTGTTAAATGTGTGGTCAACGACACTTTACAGAGGCACTGAAGCCTCAATCTTCGTTGCACAGATATCTTCTCCAAGGGATGGGTAGCATTGCTTTTTGTATTCTAGGACTTTGTGGTAGGGTGGAAATGCGGGGAATCCTCTATTTAAAAGATCTGTTCTTAGTAAATTATACGTTTGGATGCTTAATTTTTTATCAATAATTAAAGATAAGGCCTCTTCTGGTGTGTAAGGTCTTGATTTTGGCTCAGTAAGACTTCGTGTTAATTCTATAGACTTTTCCGGACTTTCAGTACAAGTATTTATTATAAACTCTAGATTTTGGGCAACTTTACTACGAGTTTGACTGTTTACCTCTTCGCTAGAGGCCATAATAGTTTCAGAGAAAACTTTTACTAATTTTTTTGGAGGCTCTTGTTTCAAACTTGTTTGTAATTCTTTTCTTGTTCGTAGTCGTTGGCGTTCACTCAATGATTCGTATTTGGCTGTTCTAGGGGTCAAAACGCCTACTTTGGCTTTTTCAGGCAAATCATCTAAAAATGACCTACTTAAAAAAACCTTTTCTTTTCTTTCAAAGATTTTTGAGTGCCGATGGCTACTTTTATATTTATTTTCGCACACAGTAACAAAATTTGCTATTGCGTTTTTTGTTTGAAGTAGTGTCTGTGCATCTAGCTGCGACATCGGCTTTATCATTCCGACAAGCAAAGACGTCACAACTTCCAATTTTTCATCAACGCTTAAATTAGACGGTCTTCCGTACTTTGATTTTTGTCTGCTTCTGTCAACTAAAGCTTTATACACAATCAAACGTGTTACATTTTCTCGTTGCCTATTTACGGACACCCCCAGAAAGGAAGGAGTGCCGGCTGTGGCGCGATACACAGCTTCACTTTCTCCTAAAATACTTGCGGACACTCCCGGAGAGGGAGGAGTGCCGGCTGTGGCGCGATCCACAGCTTCACTGTCTCCTAACATACTTGCGGACACTCCCGGAGAGGGAGGAGTGCCGGCTGTGGCGCGATCCACAGCTTCGTCGGTGGCGCCATGGGTCTTGAACGGCAGCATGACGCCTCACCCCCGCTCCTCCGGCTTGTGAGTATCGGCACGGGGTTTTAGCAATCGCCTTACGAGGGTGGACCCCTTCCCGTGCTACACACAACCCTTCATCGGAGTATAGTTCACGCCAGATTATATTTTAATGCGTAGATGAAACATTGCTATTATTGTATCCCAAATTCACAAAGAAATGGAAGCTTCTACGATGGAAAATATACTAGATCAATGCCTACGATGGAAGCTTGATGATTTCACGCACACTACAAACTCTAGTAGACATTGTTTTGACACTACTACACAAACCCTGAGAGGTACAGTGCTCCAGTAAGTCTTCGAAAGCGAATTTTAACATCGCAAAAAGTTTTTGTGACAGATAATGCAAGAGTTTATAATGCACATTATATATCATTGTATAATTGGACGTTTCTAGATTAGCACGAGTTCTCAAAAGTTTTAAAAAATTTCAGTATGTTGTTTTGTACTCTGAATATGAATTACTATAACAATTTTTATTTTCTAATATTTTTTGTTTCAGTTGTCGACTGTGGGTTAAAAATGCTGGCATAGAAGACTTAGAATAATATGTACCTATTGATAAGTTACACCAACTTAAGTTTGTTTGTGCTGCACACTTTACTCCTGAATCCTTCAATGCCAAAGGAAGGCTAATGAACTCATCTATTCCAACACTGAAATTGAGCAATCCCATCTTGCCAGATGATGTTTTACTACGAAAAAGTTGCAAAATTATCAATGACAGCTTCGTAAAAAATGAAAATATATATTTTTTTAAGTACTTCTAGACCCACCCCGTAACAACACCGCAAAGATCATGAAATAATGGAACACCTGTTCTATGGTAGCGAAGAAGAAACGGCCGACGAGGACGAGGGCACTGCCGTTGCCTATCCCGCGCACGGTACGTTCCTCAAGGATGAGGACCGTGAGGACGAGGGAACCGCACCAGCTTCCCTGGATTTCTCATGAAGAATTTCTACGCTGGCTTCACGCTGAGGCATGTATCCACAGATGGATGAAAGCCTGGCCCATTACGAAGTGTTCGATTATTCGATTTATCAAATGGATCAGCTTGAATCTTTAGGTAACCTGCACGATCACCCGATATGACGCTTATTGATTACTTTTTATGGGGGACAATGAAACAGCGCGACTACAGTATACATAAATGATGAAGCAGACTTACATGATCGCATAAATAACTGCGCAAATGATTTTTCTTCTTGAATACCGGCAAATGACATTTTGCAAATTGGACATTCTGAGACTTAACCCTGATTAATAATCTAAGTAGTCTTCAATCTCCTGGGGCTAATTGTGAAAACGATAATTGTAAAATATTTAAAACATTGAATAGTTTGTTTTTTAAAAATCCAGAAATGTCAAGCTGTACAGTTGAAGTTGATTTCAATCATGTCAATGGTGACCTGTTTATACCATTACAAGAAAAAAGGAAAAATCCTTAAGTTAGGGCTAAACGGGAGTATGTAACAGGATATGTTCTTTGTATGAAACCGCGCGCAGTTTCTACCCTTATGCCTTACCATAAATAATAGGTAATGGAATGCCTGTTTTATGGCACCGAAGAATAAACTGCCGACGAGGACGAGGGCACTGCCGTTGCCTATCCCACGCACGGTACTTAACCTCGAGGCTGAGGACCGTGAGGACGAGGGAACCGCAAAGACCATGAATAATGAAACACCGGTTATACAGTGTGAGTCACGTTAAAGTGTACATATGAAAATAGATAAAACTAGACCTATTTTTATCGACAAAAAAGAGGTCAAAATTTTTTTGAGATTTTTTTTTAATTTTTTATAGAAGTTTTTTTCTTCCAATTACTTATTGTAAAGAAAACGTAATAACTTTTAAACTAAGCGGTATATCCTGATAAAATAAAAACAGTAATAATGCTAAATAACAGGCAATACTAAAAAAATACATAAAATACACAAAAAAGGCCAACAAATAATAAAAAATGATACTTTTTGAAAAAAATCTGCTTAAAAATTCGTGTTTTTTTGGTTATTTGATAAATTTCTCCAAAAAATGCCCCTATAACCGGTGGTTTTTATTACTTTGTATTATTCTCTATCGTATTACCTTTGTAAAACCAAAAATCGCATGTCTCTATCCCTATCATAACATTTGCTATGATCGTTTGAACAAAGGCCTGCCACAACATTATTCTCCGCTACAGGTAGAGACAATTTTAATTTTAACTAAAATGCTTATTTTACTTCGAAATCTTTTGTTTTTATTTGAAATCTAACTTTTCTTTATCAAAATTACAAATCTAGAGCCATTTTCATTTTCGTTGTTAACGAAGCGTTGAATGGCGCGCCCGGAGAGGCTTAGTTCAAACAATCATTGCAAACGTTGTGATAGGGATAGGGACATGCAATTTTTGGTTTTACGCAGGTAATACGATAGAGAATAATACAAAGTAATAAAAACCACCGGTTATAGGGGCATTTTTTGGATAAATTTATCAAATAACCAAAAAATCACGAATTTTAAAGCAGATTTTTTTCAAAAAGTATCATTTTTTATTATTTGTTGGCCTTTTTTGTGTATTTTATGTATTTTTTTAGTTATGCCTGTTATTTAGCATTATTACTTATTTTATTTTATCAGGATATATCGCTTAGTTTAAAAGTTATTACGTTTTCTTTACAATAGGTAATTGGAAGAAAAAAAATTCGATAAAAAATTAAAAAAAAATCTCAAAAAAAATTTGACCTCTTTTTTGTCGATAAAAATAGGTCTAGTTTCATCTATTTTCATATGTACACTTTAACGTGACTCACACTGTATAGTAGCGAAGAAGAAACGGCCGACGAGGTCGAGGGCACTGCCGTTGCCTATCCCGCGCACAGTAAGTTCCTCGAGGATGACGACCGTGAGGACGAGGGAATCACAAATATCATGAAATAATGAAACACCTGTTCTATGATACCATGAATAATGAAACACCGGTTATATAGTAGCGAAGAAGAAACCGCCGACGAGGTCGAGGGCACTGCCGTTGCCTATCCCGCGCACAGTAAGTTCCTCGAGGATGACGACCGTGAGGACGAGGGAACCGCAAAGACCATGAATAATGAAACACCGGTTATATAGTAGCGAAGAAGAAACGGCCAACGAGGACGAGGGCACTGCCGTTGCCTATCCCGCGCACGGTACGTTCCTCAAGGATGAGGACCGTGAGGACGAGGGAACCGCAAAGACCGTGAAATAATGGAACATCTGTTCTATGGTAGCGAAGAATAAACTGCCGACGAGGACGAGGGCACTGCCGTTGCCTATCCCACGCACGGTACTTACCTCGAGTATGAGGACCGTGAGGACGAGGGAATCACAAATATCATGAAATAATGAAACACCTGTTCTATGATACCATGAATAATGAAACACCGGTTATATAGTAGCGAAGAAGAAACCGCCGACGAGGTCGAGGGCACTGCCGTTGCCTATCCCGCGCACAGTAAGTTCCTTGAGGATGACGACCGTGAGGACGAGGGAACCGCAAAGACCGTGAAATAATGGAACACCTGTTCTATGGTAGCGAAGAAGAAACTGCCGAGGATGACACTGCCGTTGCCTATCCCGCGCACAGTACGTTCCTCAAGGATGAGGACCGTGAGGACGAAGGAACCGCAAAGACCGTGAAATAATGGAACACCTGTTCTATGGTAGCGAAGAATAAACTGCCGACGAGGACGAGGGCACTGCCGTTGCCTATACCACGCACGGTACGTTCCTCGAAGAACAACTTGTTGTGATTTCTAAACGCATCTACTAATTTTTTTGACATCTGTCACTGTCACTTCGTGTTCCGCTCTCTCTTGATTTATGGCTGTCTGTAGTTCATGTGTAAAATGTCTAAATCGAATAAAACCTCGGATAATATTTCATCATTCTTTTAATTATACCTATAACCGATCACAACTTAAGACCAGAGTCAAATAAAAAGGCATTATACCCAAACATGGGAATCTACCCAGTCTGGTTGATCGAGCACATCGTACATTCCCACTTAGCAGAACATTGGAATGAAAATCAAACACTGATTGATCGCCCTGAAGAACGTCAAAAGCGTCAAACCGAGTGACGGAAGCCCTTATAGGCAACAAAGACTTGAAGAAAGAAGAACGGTCATCTGTGACCCAGGCCCGACAGAAACGAGACATACCTCAGTTTTTTTGTCATGTCTTAATTAGTTAAATTATATATTTTTTATATTCGAAATCTATGTATAACACCATAATATTACCCTTTGTTTTTGTTCAGGCGTTATACAAAAACTAATACAAAATGCCTATTTATCACCAAAATTGGTAAATGTATGTACCTAAATGTCTATTACAGCTGCTATAGAATGTATCTAGGTGACCTGGAAATACAGCCGGATTATACAGGGTGATTATACATATGGAACGATAAGTGATCTCACTCGATTATTTCTAAACTATACAAGATATCGAAAAACTAGTTACTGATTCTGAAAGTGCTTCACGAGCTCTTTCAAATGGTACCAATAATAGGTTACAGATTATGGGAGCTGGTAACATTGAATTTTGTAACTTCTCATTTCCACCCTGTATAATCCGGCTGTATCTCTAGGTCACCTAGATACATTCCATAGCAGCTGTAATAGACATTTAGGTACATACATTTACCAATTTTGGTAATAAATAGGCATTTTGTAATAGTTTTTGTATAACGCCTGAACAAAAACAAACGGTAATATTTTGGTGTTATACATAGATATCGAATATAAAAAATATATATTTTAACTAATTAAGACATGACAAAAAAACTAAGGTATGTCTCGTTTCTGTCGGGTCTGGGTTTTTTTTGTATGGGGCGTGACCGTTCTTCTTTATCTGTTCATAAAAATACTTGAATTACCACATACAATAAATTAATTGCATTATACCTCGAACATGGGAAAACTACCCAGACTGGTTGATCGAGCACATCGTAAATTCCCACTTATCAGAAAATTGGAATGAAAATCAAACACTGATTGATCGCCCTGAAGAACGTTAAAGGCGTAAAACCGAGGAACAGAAAGGCTTTTATACGCCGAAATAAGTAGCTAACTTAATAGTCCTGGTGCCGTTATGAGCACCAAGCAGTGGCAGAAAAATACTTGACGAAATGGATCTGTTCATAAAAATACTTGAATTACGACATACATTTGCATTATACCTCGAACATGGGAATTCTACCCAGTCTGGTTGATCGAGCACATCGTACATTCCCACTTAGCAGAAAATTGGAATGAAAATCAAACACTGATTGATCGCCCTGAAGAACGTCAAAGGCGTAAAACCGAGTGACAGAAAACTCATTAAAAACTCATTAAAATTCAAGGCTTTTATACGCCGAAATAAGTAGCTAACTTAATAGTCCTGGTACCGTTAAGACCACCAAGCAGTGGCAGAAAAAATACTTGAATTACGACTTACATTTGCATTATATCTCGAACATAGGAATTCTACCCAGTCTGGTTGATCGAGAACATCGTACATTACTTAGCAGAAAATTGGAATGGAAATCAAACACTGATTGATCGCCCTGAAGAACGTCAAAGGCGTAAAACCGAGTGACAGAAAACTCATTAAAAACTCATTAAAATTCAAGGCTTTTATACGCCGAAATAAGTAGCTAACTTAATAGTCCTGGTGCCGTTAAGACCACCAAGCAGTGGCAGAAAAAATACTTGAATTACGACATACATTTGCATTATACCTCGAACATGGGAATTCTACCCAGTCTGGTTGATCGAGCACATCGTACATTCCCACTTAGCAGAAAATTGGAATGAAAATCAAACACTGATTGATCGCCCTGAAGAACATCAAAGGCGTCAAACCAAGTGACGGAGGGCTTTTATAGGCCGAAATAACTAGCTAACTTAATAGTGGACAGTGACGGAAGGACAATCAGATACCTCCTTGCTGAGGTCTAAAAAGTGGTACATGCGTATTTTTTTCATTTATTTGATCTTGCAGTAATAATTGCTTGAATTGTCTATAAAAAAAATGCTCAGAAAAGGGGTGAACCTAAAAATAGTCTGCTTACAATGAGCCAATTCAGAAATGAATTGGCCTTTGTTCTTTGCAACAAAGGAACCATCAAAGATGCTAAGAGGGCGTCCTAGCAGCAGTACCCTATAAGAATTGCTGACAAAAAAAAAAGAGTTCTCCAGCTCCTCCACCTCCAAAAGACATAAGGAGGGATGATTCTGAACATTGGCCAAAAGTAGGTGGGTGACTCGCAGTCCGAAGGCCCAGAGGATCCCGCGGACGCGGCTCCGGCCGTGACAAACAAACATTTACTTTAGGTCGGTCACACTAAAATTGTTTCTCGCGATGATTACGATCGGCGGTACTGCCAGTCCAATGGACACGGCAAGCACCATCCCAACTTCTCGCGCCCGAGGAAATTTTGCAGTCCGACGGCCCAGAGGATCCCGCGGACGCGGCTCCGGCCGTGGCAAACCCAACGATCGAACAATAATAATTGTCCTGTAAAAATGTTAGCGCACCGAGATTTGTAGGTATCACATTATTTTCCTACATATGAAAAGAGGCCCACCGTGCACAGTATATTCTTCTCAACGTCTGAGAGCAACGGTGATGGCTGAGCGAGCATCTAACAATTACAAGCAAAATCTGGAAAATCGCGCACCATCGGAGAACAATACATTCCCAGGAAAATAAACTATAAAACCCTCAAACGCCAAGGTTTAAGGGGCCGAGATCTTTGGATAAAACTTGTGTTTTTCCCACCCAAAACTTCCAGTATAATGAAATTGCCCTGGTGACCACTCAAATTTTGACAATTGATGAAAGTGTTAGCAACGAAAGGATTAACGCTAATTTGGCTATCAAATTACACCTGAGAAGCGCGGGGAGACAAAAATATATTCCTATGGGGCACAGNATTGTCACTTTCTAAAAGTTGAATTTTATGGAATTGGGAAAGAAGTACCGAGTTTGAAGCGTTCATGAGCAGACATTGCAGTTGAATATTCAAGTTCTGAATTTGATTATTGATGAATAATAAAATAAATCCTACTAGTTCGATTGATGGTTTCATTTAATTTATTTAAACCAGGTTACCTATAATAATATTTTTTCGTTAATTTATGAAAATATCAAATTAGCCCGTAATCCTGAATCCTGAAACATAAAGTTAGCCTATTAATTTAACACAGGTACGACTGTACTCAGTGTTGCACTATCAAATGCAATTGAAGCGCCTCTATGCCAGGGTTTTTATGTTCCTGGTCAGGCTATACTACTGCAATTACTATTTATTTATTTATTAGTCGGCAATTCGCCATTATTATTAACCGGCAGCACAGAATAAGTAATAGTAGGTAGGTACCAAGGCCGGCAGGCAGTGATGACTGAGTATGTTGTGGCGCTTTTAAGCACTTGCCAAGTTGGAAGTTGGTCTCTCTGGTAGGGTAAAAAGGTCTCTCTGGTAGGGTAAAAAGATTATGAGGCTCCTTAAGAGCAAAATAAATATTTTGCTCCAAATGGAGATTTGTAAGAAGAACTATTTATTTATTATTTATTTATAAGAACTATTTTATTAGTCTATACAAATAAAGAAATTTTTACTTTGACTTTGAAGTCGAAGTCTACGGCCGAATATCGTGCGTGGCACGACCACTCGAGACGCACCGAACGGAGGGGTGACCTCCACCATATCGAATAATAAATGATCGAAAATCAAAATATAGAACACGTTTCATCGAACGATCAAAATATAAAAGGTAAAGGAGGGCCTCCGCTAAAACACGCGCGTAAACCCGCACGCGTACCTATCTGTATTGAAAAAATAGTAGGTATGCGCAAGACGTGTTTCTTCGTGTCCGTTTCCAGAAGCGCGGCAGGTGGTGGGTGCACGCCGCGGTGCAATTCCATGCAATAAGAAGGCGCTTTTACACTGCAGTCAAAAAAACAGTGTAGTGGGGATGAAATTCATTCATTTTTCATCCTCACACCACTGTTTTTTTGACTTGACTTATCTAATTTCCGCGCAGTGTAAAAGCGCCTTTTGACTTGACTCGGCTAATTTCCGCGCAGTGTAAATCCGCCATGTCGTGTGCAGTCAGNGGTTCAACGATTCTTGAAATAACACCATTTTATAAAATAATTGGTCACATCATCATAACGTGATCAATTTTACGATTTGGCCACGATATAAATGCATATTAGTGTTAAATTTGACTTATTACTTATTAATCAATAAACTTAAATGAGAAAAATTCAATAAAAATAAAGAAAAGATACCAATTGAAATAATTATAAAATTATTTGTTTTCACCCGGTGTAAACACCCACGGGTGGAATGAAACGGGTTTTTATTGGGTTTTTACCTTCATGTGGGTTTTTACCCGGGTGGAAACCCATCTCTGCACCCGCCCCGTTGCTACACCCTAACCGTACATAAATAATAATGATCAAAATCTGTTTACTTTACCCATTACCGGTGGGCCAGCTGGTATTCTATCAATGCCTAGGAATTACATACACTGCCTAGGTAAAGTATTTATTGAACATTGACTAGGGATTGTATAGAATTCCTAAATTATTACAAATTGCCGCTTACACATACATTACGCGCACACTTACACGCAATATAAATACACGATTTAAGAAAACAACATGGCCGCAATATTATAGGAAATAACAGGTTGTGTGTGTGTGTGTGTGTAGTTGTCAGCTGATTGCCTATATTGCGGCCATGTTGATTTCATAAATCTTGTATGTAAGTAAGAGATAAACAGCTGTTTGTCATTAATGTGTCGATTTGATATGTATTTTTGTATACTTACGTCAAAATGTTAGGCGAATTAGGCTACTTCAGGAAAAAAAAAATATTAGGCGATTTAGGCTACTCGGTAGGAAAAATTAGGCGAATTGAGTTAGCTGATATCTGGCAACCCTGATGTCGAATCCCTAACAATAAAAATGGTTTAGTTAAATATCTAAAAGATACTCTAACAACAGTGAATACTGTGATAACGCATTGGCAAGGTGTTTTTAATATAATTAGACCAATTTGCAGACTGCGCTGCTGCACATGAGCTGCGCTTAGAATATTGATCTGTATTGAACGCATCTGAAAAATAAAATTTTTGGCCAAACCCCTTGATACAGAACTGTGAAAGTTGGTTATAAAAAAACACTGTCAAATTTTAAGCTGTCAAAAAAATAACCTAAAAGTCCATTTGTTTTGGCTAATTTAATTTACTAATTTAAAATGTTTCATGTATCAAACATATGTAGGAATTATTCTTTTACTTCAAACATAGCAGTACAAGTTCGTAATAAAGCGAAGACGCATTGGGTATGTATTTTTAATGCCGGCAAAACTTATGATTAGCTAATTTATGACTAACCTAGCGAAAAACTTTATGAAACTGCTTTTTTCCAGGCAAAACTTAAAAAAAAGACGTCTCCAAAGTACAAAGCTTTGAACCACTTCGACGACTTCTACGCCTCAGTGTTTGGTTCCAAATGGGAGCCTATGCGGCAAGCGTTGTTGCGGGGTTCCAAATACGTTGCTGTTGTCAATAACTATGGCGATGCTGAAGAAACTATTGAATACTTGACACACAGAGGTACTTTAATACTTAGCAAATGCCCCAGCACCAACATTCTATTATCTATCTCGTTAATTTTACAATCACAATATTTTTTACTGTGTTTGAATCTTACAATGCTAATTCTAGGTGCACACTGTCTTAAAAACCTCATGAAAGTCCAGCAAGAGTTCCACAAGGAATACAGCCCAAAGTCTGCTGACCCACCTCCAATAAACAACACAAACAAACTTCAAGAATATGTCAATAGAGTCCAAAGTGAGGATATATCCAGTCTTTACCCAGAAGGTGCAGATACTCCAGACAGATTAAGCTTCAAGGATAAAAAGCCTGATGGGAATGAGAGGATATTGCACATAAATAAATCAGATGGGTGAGTCACTATCAAATCCATTTTTTAAGTGATCTTTCTTTAATTTAAAGAACAAAAAAAATGTTTATATTTAAATTCAGTCAAATGCTGACCTAAACACAATTTTTGAGTTTGAGATGTTTCTAATTTCCAAATATCACCAACAGTAAGCCACCAACATGTATTCTCAACTTTCCTGTAAAGAAAGTGAGTCAATCTCGTACAATTTTCAAGACTAAAATTAAACTTTAAACTAGAACTATTTTTTTCAATATTCAGAGAAGGAAAACAAGGCATGAATTACCCAACATCAGAGTCCCAACTAGACGAGTCCAGAATCATTGACCCATCAATGGGGATGTCATCAGAAGTCTTGTACCAGTACATACCAGCTACCAAACTGAAGGGCATGGATGAGTGGATACCAGAATCTTTACACTATTCTTATTATTCAAGTAAGTAACCAAGGTTAACCCCTAGCATAATTATTATTAAATTATTCAAATACCTAAGTAAGATACTAACCTTTTAACTTTATATTTCATTGCTATTAACCCATCGAATTGTAATCTGAAAAATAAAAATAAAAAAATTTGAATAGCACTATGTAGCCTCATTTGAGAACCTAGAGATATGCTATAGTTTTGCGAATAGACCCAAATTAACTATTAGATTTTTAGTTAATTTGGGTAAAGGAATAAGAAATAAGTTATCTTTATTAATATTGTTGTTAATGTTTCAGCTGACAAAGACTTTCCATTAGTAATTGAGCCAGAAACAGAGTTCCAAATACCTGAACATTTGAAAGTGTACACATATGAAATGGACAGTGAATACCACAAGTTTCCAGAACCTAAAAGATGTAAAACAGGTGGGTACTTAATTTATTTAAATATACTTTTTAAATGAGGCTTACTTTAAAATTCGGACCCTGTCAACCACTGGACTATTGGATTGGGGAATCCATTGCTGTTTATATTTGCCTCTGGTAAATTAGAGTGGGTCATCCTTCTGCATTAGAGAAAGACCTTAATGATGATGACTGCTTAAACAAGATATCTTGATACTTGATGTTAAACTGAATAACTTTCTTCTAAATGTACAGCAAAATACCATCCATAACAAAAACTACATTAAGGTACCACACAGTGATTAGCTTTACACACTGTCCTTTGTACATGTACATATTTATTGTGTACTAGCGGCCTCCCGCGATTTCCTATGTGTGGACTCCGTTTTACAGAGGTGGAGTTTAGTAAAATCCGTTCTTAGCGGATGTCTTCATCCTACCTGCAAAATTTCAACTTTGTAGGTGTTATAGTTTCTAAGATTTCGCGATTAATCAGTGGTTGTCCAATCTAGGAGTGTTTAACTACTGCTCAATGGACTGCAGCTCTGCTCTCGCGATGCTAGCCCTCGTCTTCCAAATGTGTTGAAATTCAACTAAACAAATGTTTCTATTTGTATAATCCAGGGGTGTTCAACTACTACCCAATGGACTGTGGGTCCGTGCTCGCGGTGCTAGCTCTCTGCCTGTCGCCCGGCGACCGAGTGCTCGACTTGTGCGCGGCGCCCGGCGGCAAGCTTTTCAATTGTAGTGAAATTCAACAAAACTGTTTCTCTTTGTACTATCCAGGGGTGTTCAACTACTACCCAATGGACTGTGGCTCTGTTCTCGCGATGCTAGCCCTCTGTCTTCCAAATGTATTGAAATACCTAAAACGCTTCTATTTCTATGATCCAGGAGACTACCCGATAGATTGCGACTCGGCTCTATTGAAACTCATCTAAAACGCTTCTATCTGTACGATTCAGGGGTGTTCAACTACTACCCGATGGACTGCGGGTCAGTTCTCGCGGTGCTTGCCCTCTGCCTGTCGCCCGGTGACCGTGTACTTGACTTGTGCGCGGCGCCCGGCGGCAAGTCGCTGGTCGCGCTGCAGACGCTGCTGCCTGATATAGTGGTGTGCAATGACACCTCGATATCGAGGCATAACAGGTATTATTGAAGTAATTCTAATAATAATAATTTAATTATGCTACCTGTTTTATATGTATTACTCAAAACTGTGTTTTCCAAATAGAGAAAAAAAGTATTCAAACTAGTCCAGACTCCAGAAGAATAGGAAATGAAAGAGTATTTGACTCATTGGGGATCTACAAATAAAATTAATGCTAAAATATCTCTGTTATCAAAAATGGTGGAAAACAATAAAGCTTAATATGTACTCAATTAAAATTATTATTTTTTGTGTTATTTGAAAATAAAAATCATTTTCTTTTCAGAATGGAGAGAATTTTCAACGATTACCTCTTTGACTTCAAGACAAGCAACAAGTGGCGAGAACGGGTGCTCACAACTAGGGTAGACGGGAGGATATACAAAGATGATCAGGGATTCGATAAGGTTAGTGAACAGTACAACTAAAAAAAATTTTATGCTTTAGCTAAGCAGTAGTATTCCTGTAGTTAAGAACGAAACTAATATAGAGAATAGAACCATTCCGACTCTTCCTGTGGATGTCACAGGGTTTTTCAGTATTTCCTTGTCATAAGTCTTGTCAAATTACAAGTTTTATGGAACAAATTATGTTGATTTGTGTCCATTAGCGATTAAACCTATTGCCTGTTTAGAAACGTACTCCCTGTTGAAACAGGCTCCCATAGGCCAAATACTCCATTTGCTTCCCAATAAGAGAGGCTATTGTTCCTGCTATAGTGGAGGAGGCTCATAGTCCAGCATTGGACTGTAAAGGGCTGTTGATGATGATTGTTCCTGCATTTGAAACTATAGTCCATTCAGCGTAAGATGGTGATTATGACAGTTCTATTTAGTGAGGCGCTCCTTATAAACCTAATCGATATTTTTTAGAATCGAGAATATTTTCTATAGAAATCTAATCGCCTTTTATTTGTTTGATTTTTAATCTTGATCAAAATTATATCTATGAATTTGAACTATCTGGAAATGGAATAAACGTGAATATTCTTAGTGGTAGTAGTATATCAGAAAGAATTAAATATATGCATTTTATTCAATAAAACATCAAAATAACAATAACAAACAATACGTGGAGAAATCGCATAAAACAAAACCGTCATCAAAGGCAAACGCACACGTACTGACTTAGCTTTGACCTGCCTGAGATAATAATCGTGATTCGAGGGTAAGATGACCACCATGCCGATTACTGATTTATTGCGATTGTTTATGTTTCATCCCTATGAGCAAAAGTTCCGACTAACGCAGAAGCAATTCATTTAATATTTTTTCACAATTTTTTCTAAATAATAAACTAATAAATAATTAGAAATTCTTGTTTAGGTTAATTGAGAAAGATTAGTGATTGATATTTTGGAAGGATGAAAACACACAAAAGTAATTGATATTTACAACTCAATATTTTTATTCATAGAAAGTTAGAATCATAAAACGAAACGTTTTATCTGTCTAAATCACCATCATAAGTTGAATGAACTATAAATGACATTATTTCCAGGTGCTAGTAGACGTGCCGTGTACCACAGACCGGCTGTCGGTGAACGAAGACGAAAACAACGTGTTCCGACCCGACCGGGTCAGAGAACGGCTCAAGCTGCCCGAGATGCAGTCGCAGCTGTTGACGTGAGTTTATTACAAATTTAACTTTATTACCATGAAATAAAGTTCAAATATCCTACAAAAACACCCTGAGGCGTCAAATAGGCATGTTAGTGTACTCCTTTACTGCTGTAATTTGGACTTTATTCCCACGAAATAAGATTAAAAATCTGTTTATGAACTTCCCACAAGAATGCCTTTCGCCTGGTGCGTCTTGGTGGCGCAGTAGTATACTCGACCTGCTCGTTTAACTCTGAGCAGAACGATGGTGCACGCGTCTTCTTTGCCTCTATAATTTGAACTGTATTTCCACGTAAAAAGGTTCAAATATGATTCCTCTAGGAAGGTCTCGAAGTTGACGCGTCCGGTCTGCGCGTTAGTGTACTCCACTCCATTACTGCTGTAATTTGAACTTTATTCCCACACACTAAGGTTCTAAATCCCGCAGGAACGCTCTCCGGCTGGTGCGTCCAGGCGGCGCAGTAGTATACTCCACATGCTCGCTAAGTCCCGTTCAAAACGACGGCGTTGTGCACGCCGCGTTGAAACGCGCGTTTGAAGAATACGGCGTGCTGGCTGCTGTCAAGTGAGTAACATCTACAAAACTTTTAAAGAATAAGACTTCTGTTCCTTTTTCGTCTATGGCCAGATCTAAGATAGCGTTCCAAAGGGTTAACTAAGAAAAGAAGCCAAAACAAGAACGTTGTCTGATGGTCAATCCTCAACACCGAAAGAGTTTTAAAGAAATATATTTTTGAAACATTTTCATTCAATCCGTTATTGCCTAGTCTTTTAAAAAAAGTATCTACTTACGTTTTATTTAATAACTAGCGGCCGCCTGCGACCTGCGTGGATCCCGTTTTGCTCCCTTAGGGGTTGAATTTTGCAAAATCCCGTCTTAGTGAGCACCTATGTTCTAAAAGGAACCCCCATTCAAAATTTGAGGTTTCTAGCAATTGTAGTTTCTGAGATTTCGTGATGAGTAAGTCAGTGAATCAGTGACCTTTCGCTTTTATAGATTTTTATAGATTTTAAGTTATTTTACGCTTTATGCTTTTCAGGGACCTCACAATCCCAATGTCAGCGCTCAGCAGTACATTGTTGCTAGCTTCGGGCGACATCGCGCCACGCTATGGGCAACTGGTGCTACCGTCGGTGTCTGCCAACTTCGGCCCTTCGTACCTCGCCAGGCTAGTCCGAATTAAGTAATTGTATTGATGAGATTGAGATTAATGCCTCAGCTAATGTACACGCTTCAACACTTCGACAAAGTCTTCGAGGAAACTAATCGAAGTTTGAAGCGCATATTCATATACAGGGTGGAAACGATAAGTGCTCAAAAAACTGGTTAGAGATCCTGAAAGTGCTTCACGAGCTCTTTTAAACGGTATCAATAATAGGTTACAGAATAAACTGGCTGGATCTATTCCGAAAATTCAATGTTTCCAGCTTCCATACTAAATATATGCCAGCCACATAATATTAGAAGTGTATAATTTTAATTAAATAATAAACTCTTAAAATAAACTCGTAAATTGCATTCTAATTTAATGGAAAACGTTGGTTTTAGGCATTACTTACTATAATATTATCAAGAAACGACTGCCATTACTGTGGCTTTACTAAATGTATGGTAGTTCGAAACATTGTTTTTTTTGATAGATCCAATTTATTCTGTAACCTAATAATGAGACCGATTAATAGAGCTCGTAAAGCACTTTTAGAATCAGTAAACAGTTTTACTATGTCTTGTAGAGTTTTTAATATTTTGTGGGTTTTATAAATGTATGGAAGCTGGAAACATTGAATTTTCGGATAGATCCAGTTTATTTTGTAACGTATCATTAGTACCATTTGATAGAGCTCGTGGAGCACTTTCAGGATTAGTAACCAGTTTTTCGATATCTTGTATAGTTTAGAAATAATCGAGTGAGATCACTTATCGTTTCCACCCTGTATAGATCGTGTCATCCACGAAGACGCGCACCACCAAATCTTAGTCGAGGGAAGCGCGGGATGCGGGGAGTTTGAGCGTCATTAGGTATTGTAGAGTGCGTGTGCACTCGTGGATAATTTAGCGTGTACCGATAACACTCTAGCGGAAGTGGAGCGCGTCTTCGTGGATGACACGATCTATACTCGTGCAACCCGACTTCGCGAGTATCTCAGACTTGAGTGCGGGCTCTACTAGGCTACATGGAAGTAGTTACATACCAAAAATATCTGTTAAATATTTCACTTCTTTCCAAAAGGGCCAGAAACGAAAACATACTTACTTGGTATTTATCATACATGTATAAAATAATATTGTGTAAATATATTTTAATAAATAAATATACATTATAAGGATCATACATATTTTATTTCAATAAGTACATTATTTCTAAGTACAGATAGTGTCTTTGGTAGCAAGTTCCTAATGACATAGATCTATAAAAATAATAAATTCCACATCAAAAGCATTTTTTCAAAATCAGTTATACAAATTCTGTATTCAAAAAAGTTTTAAAAACATTGTTAAATCCTAGAACATATTTACTTATTTGTTACCATACGACATAAGTACTCATCTAACATCCATGACACAAATATAAGACAGAGATTACAATATATTATATCGTATATCCATACTATTGGCTCCGTGCACGATTACAGCGCCAACTAGCGTCCACAACTTTGTGGGCTCTGTCACATTGACATTTAGGTCGTATATTTGTGAAAAAATATCGAAATGAAAAAATAACAAATATTTTCAACTAATAAATTGTTGTGATACCACGATTTGGGTGGAAAAAAGGTTTTGAAATCATTTTGGTCATTCAAATCAAATGAGGTAAGTCCAAAAAGTGTGTTTAATTTTGATTGTGTCAGGGTTTGTTTACTTCATTTATAGTTGTAGTTTTACAGTAAAACAAAAAGAAAAAGCTACTTTAACGGTTTCATTATATAACAGTAAATATATTTAAATGTTTCTGTATCGCTAGTAATAAATTAAATATCGTTTTCAGATCGAAATGAGTATCGTTTTGAAGACCGGGTTTGTGAGAGTTACAATATCAAATTCCAACCACAAACCGTATTTAAAGGAAAGTTGTTGGTATTGGCTGGACAAGTCCGAGATGTAGAAGAATTAAGAACAAAACAAGGGCAGAGTTCAATAATTCACGCTCTCATCATAAGGCAAACATCTGTGCACAACAACTACTGTGACTCATTTTTGTACTACCACGTTGTATAGTTTAGTTATTTCCAAATTGTAAACGGCTATTAAAACAGCCCTATCGAAATACAGTCCACTCTTTTATTTAAGTTCCCAGTAGGACCCTTTTCATGCGATTAATTAATGATATTAAAATGTATTATGTAGAATCGGTTTGCCATTGACAGATACATCTGATGACAGAGCTAACATTATTTCTACTTTTGACCACCATGAGCGCTGCGATAGATTATGTCCCCCCCACCTAGTACTTCGCACCCAGCGAATAGCGACATTCAGAAAAATATCAATACTTCGTTCAAATCACCAAATATCCACACAAATCTTATCTATCATCATTTAAAACACTACATAAATGCAAATTTCGAAAATACAATAAGATACCAAATATTTAGGCTAGAAGAAATAATTATGGCAATTTTAACGTTATTAAAAATGAGTCGAAAAGAAATAATAAGTAGGTAGGTACATAACATATTTTACTTACACCTCTAAATATTAAAGAAAATGCTTTATAAATAGCAATCACTTATAAATGTATAAGTACACCACCACAAATGTCTGTTCTTTTATGCAATCTGAAAATACATAATGTCAATTCAAAATACAAATTAAGTTAATACTTTTAGATTTAAAATACTTTTTGAAAAGTTTCCTTACACATTCATTCATAACTATCCAGGATCTATTTTTATATCAAAAATAATTACTCTACACTGCTAAGGTAAAAAAATACTATACAAGCTATAAAAAGAGTTGGTAAAAAAGACCATACAACTGCAGGAATATAGTTACTGGCGTAAAATCTTCTTATTTTTCATATACTAACTACAAAAAAATAGACAGAAAGCACTCAGTACCACATCCATTACAAGTCAACCGGAATCAAATACGTGCCTCTTATTTTTATACTAAGTAGTGAGTAAATAAGTAATACGTAGTTGCCTTTATTCTATATCATCATCCTACCAAAATTAATAGAGTAAAGCCATTTACACACTACGATATTTAGCAGCGATTCTAGCTGTCGCGATTCAATCACAATGCAGCGGCGATGTATTCGTAATCGTCTTATACGTGCTTTTTAAACGCCTACTTGCAAAAATAAATTGAGTTTTATGAGTTTTTACACTTAATATTAAGTAAGTAATTTCTATCTTAATGCAGACGAAATACTGTCACATACTGTTGTGATTAGATATAATGAATGTCATTTTTATGACGCATGTTTTCGTCGCAAAAAGTCGTAGTGTATAACCGGTCTAAAATAAAGATATAATACATACCTATAATATTTTGCAACTATTATTATGAATGACACATAAACAGTCCCTACTTTAGTATTTTTATAAACTCTTTTAAAATCAATAATACAAGTATTTTACCCTTGAACAAAACTGTCATGGTTATCATACCTTTTCAATGCTTTTTAAACGTCATTCTTCTCATCGTTATTCAAGGGCTTGGCTTCCTGCTCCACTTCTTTCTTTTCTTCCACTTTATTCCAAGGCTGCTCCTCCCCGGATCCGAACAGGGTATACACGACGATCTCGATGGCATACAAACCGATGGTCACGAAGAAGATTATGCGCCACGCTGAGATTGTTTGCTGGTGAACAAATTTTCGTGTAAATAAATAATAATAAATAAATAAATAAAACGTTTATTACCAGTAAAACCAAATACATAAAGTCCTTATATCTAGCGGATACCGCACTAAGCAAAGCTTGTGTCGCAGTAACCTTTAATACTTTGTAACACAAAAGAATCTACTATGGGGTCTGGGAACATGAGAAGTATACAACTATTTCTACCTCTCGTTTCCACCGCTGCAACTCCTGTGTCGCCAGGACTATAGCATGACCTCAAAACCCAACCAGTGGAGGTCAAGATTGTCCCGGGGAAAGTTAAACTGTCATTGGAGCCGTAACGAAATTAATTAAGCATACTGTGTTTGAAGTTGTGACTTCCTTACAACATGTTCATGAAAGTCCAATTTTATCATCCTGTGATTATCTATATCAATCCACATCTTGTGCAATAAACTCGAAGAAGTAAAGCTAACACTTTCTCATGAAACTCGGATAAATTGGAGGTTGAAGTTTTCATACCTAATAGCGTAATAACTTACGTTTCCGTGTGTCAAGACGCCAACGAACAAAGGTACGACGATTCCAGGGATAGTCGCCACTGTGTTGGTCAATGCCATGAGAGTTCCTGCAAGGAAAGACACGTTGGTTGACATTTAACATTTATTTACTGACTTACTTTTTTTGGACCTAGAGAGTTAAGCAACAAAAAATACTTAGAAGAACTTGCCGTCTCTGATTAATTCCACCTCACTATCACACACCAGTTCCTGCACCTACAGCCAGGATCTAGAGTTTAGCTTACGTTGAAAGTGTTCAACTTGAAACTCAACCAGTGAAGGTTGATTTCTTACTGTCTTGGAATCTGCAACAAATTAAATAGAAAGACTTACCAGCGAAGTTGGGCGCGATGTCGATATGGTTGGACAGGAATCCGCAGAACATGCCTCCAATGCTGGTGACACCAATCGCAGTGATTGCCACCGCCGCGCCGCGGTTGCAGCCGATGAAACATAATGCTAGCAGACATATAGCCGGGATCACGGATGCTGGAACACAAAGTAACATGATTCAGATTCTCAAACGGAATTTATCCCACATTTGATCACAGACGCTGTGGCTGTGATATTTTGTATTTTTGTATTGTATTAGATTATATTCTGCGCCTCTACAAATGAAGCACAGTGCTAGCAGGCATATACGCTGCGACACCACAAAGTTACATGTTCCACATTATGAAACGGGACTATTTCCATTTCCCACCTCTAACGATGGAGCACAGCTCTAGCAAGCATATTACTGCTAACTAACAAATATGTACCAAATTATAAAATGGGACTATTCTTATTGCTACAACTCCTGTCACCTGTGTAACTAGAATCTACACCTTGATTAACTGCCAATGAAAACCCAACCAGTAAAGTCAAGTTTGTCCAGTGAAGAAGTTGTATCTTGTAATGATTGGTTATTAAGAAGAGCGTTGTCACATTTTTCATGCAGAAATCGAGAATTTGGCAGATTTCGAAATGATTTTAGTCATATAATTTATTGTTATAGCTTCTTTTGACTTATATCATCGTAATTATCATACGTTTTTACGGAATGTCTATTGAAAAAATCTCGTTCAAATTGGATTTTTGCCTACGAAAACAGCGAATTTCGAAAGCCCGATTTCCAGGTAACTCGCGAAGGCACAACTTTGAACTAATATTACAACAAATTTATTTCTAAGTAAGAAGATAGAATGTATTCATTAGAATAAGCATACCCTGAAGAAGAAAGTGTATTGAGAAAATTTTGATGTTTAATTCATTAAAATGCATTTTTATCATGTCTAAGATAGTCAAAATTCGAGAAAATTACTGCAAGAAAACAGGTCACATCTCATAATCTAAAAGTCATTTGGCAACATAAACTACTTTATACTTAAGAAGAAACATAGTACTATTATTGTGTGAAAAAGAAAAAATATCTATCTTCAATCTTCAAATGAAAAATTAATTTGAAAATACTATAAAATCGGGTGCATCAAATGGCATAAATCAGTCGTGCTTTGGCACTCGTAGACGCCGGGTCTATGTCAGTTGACTGCCCACTGACGTATATGCGTCACGCGTGATTTTTTCGTAAATTGTAGTATGATTGAGTACTTTTGATCCGCAAGTATTTTTAATTTATTTGTTTAGGTAAATCGGACTTGTAATTTCTTTCTTTTCAAACTTTTTATTATTTTACTTACAGAATATGGGTAGAATAGATAAAAGATATTATTATGGTATCTGTTTGGTCAGGAAAAAATAAATGACTAATAAAAATTTTAACAGGGTGTCAAAACATTAGTCTATGCTATTGTGTTTCTACCAACATAAAATATACTCTTCCTTACTAATAAAAGTTGAATAGCGTCTGTATGGTCACACAACGCTTCGTCATGTTTTTCCGAAAGTTCAATTACTGACGACTGAATGAAAGAAATTGGTGCGTAACTATTCATCTGATATTAAACGTTTAGTAATAAAGGGGTAGGTCAGGTAAATGGCAAATCCACCAGCGGTCGCTCGATGACACTTAGACAAATAGTTTTATAAAACGTCAACTAAGTTGGTTAGGTATTTGTATTGTAGATACTTATACAAATGAACGTATAAAATGAGTTTATTTTTAAAAGTATAGGTACAGGGTGGAAACGATAAGTGATTTCACTTGATTTTTAATTATACAAGATATCGAGAAACTGTTTACTGTTCCTGTAAGTGCTTCATGAGCTCTTTAAAACAATAACAATAAATAGGTCAAAGAATAAACTGGATCTATGCGAAAATTCAATGTTTCCGAATTTCATACTAAATGTATGCCGCCAGCCATACCTACCATATTAGAAGTGTTAATTTTTTAAATTTAAATTTTTAATTGAGTAATATATAATAATCAAACAACAAACTCGTAAATTGCATTCTTATTTAAATTATTTACGGAAAACATGATTTTAGGTTTAACTTGCTACAATATCATCAAGAGATACTAATTAATAAATACTAAATAAACAGATAAAGGGGACGGCATTAAGGCACTCAGAATTCTCAGAAACCATTGATTTCGTGTTTGTTTGTAACTGTATTAAATGTATGAAAGCTGGAAATATAGGTTTTTTGAATAGATTCAGTTCGTTCTTAAACATATTATTGATGCCGTTTGCTAGGTCTCATGAAGCACTTTTTCAGTAAGTAACCATTTGTTCGACATCTTGTATACCTACTATAAGAAATATTCGAGTGAGATCACTTATCGATTATTTTCGTCATCCTTATTTGTATTAAATTTAATTAAAATACACTAAGGCTGAGATGCACCACCTAACTTTGACCCTAACTGACAATAACCGGTGTTTTATGTTAGACAGATTTTTGACATCCAAAATTTTGATGTCAATGTTAAAGTAAGACGGTGCAACACGGCCTAACAAATGTATCGTAGACAGTACTTTTTATTTTCTTCATAAATCTTTCTTTTCTTTGTAAAGCTATCTACAAGCTTTTATTTTCTTTGACATCTGGAGTTGTAAAATCTTGCAACTTAAAATTTACTTACTTCCCGTTTTCCCATTGAGCTGAAATTTTGCATGTCTACACAGGCATGCAAAATTTCGTTTCATTTCGCACTAAATAATTTAATTTACACGTGTTTTCATGCGATGGCCAAGTCAATATATTTATGTAAAACGTTAATGATTTCCTGGACTGGACTTGGTATTACATGGATCTCACAACTTTTTACCGTAGAACAACTGAGTAGTGAGACTTGGTTTTTTGACAAGTATTGTTTTTGATGGGTTTGTATTACAGAACGCATGTGTACCTAATGGGATAACTGTTTAAAAACACGATTAGATAAATTTTGCTCTATGGATAAAAATCTTAAAGTTACCTCTGATTTTTTAGCATTATACGACCGTGGTTTATAATAATAAATTCTATAAAATCACAATGATATCAGTATTTACCTCTTTGATTTCCTGACTTGTTTAGATTTACAAAAACTAAATATTTATTATTAACTTTTAGATAATAATTTGAATGGCGCTTACGATGTTTAGTTACGAGCTCTTTGATGGACACAGATATTATAGATAACGTTTAAAAAATGGCACGCTCGTTTTCATACATTTCATTCTATTTATTTAACCTATCCATATTTATGTGCGCAAACGTCACAAAATCAGAATAAATTTTAATTTTTCCATCCCGCATCATAAAAACTAAAAAGTCAAAAGTAAAATTTAAATAGTAAATATTTTTCATAAACAAGCTTTTGATGCTGTAAAAAGAATAAAATAAAACATAAATTCTTTCAAACCCATCAACTTATTACTTTACTCAATTTAAAGATTAAAAAGTTGTCACGGGATTTACTAGTGTAAAAAATACATTAATTACGTAACTTGATTTTGCTAAAAGTCTGATCTGAGAAAAAATCAAATGGGTAAATTATACATTTATTTCTTTATTATTATGTATGATGTACTGTCTTAGGTACGATACAACTACGGATTAAGATCGTTTAGTCGACGCAGCGTTGAAATTGTACAGATAAATGCAGTTTGCGCACTCACTACGCGACGTCAAGCAATAAAAACCTAAAATTCGAACGCCAACTTTTTGCTACAACGCTCTTAAGAACTACTTGTATTAAAATGTTTATTTACGACAAGTAAAACACATAGATGGGCTCCAGAACTATGCTTGGTATAAAACCAAATTGTGGTGTGTGAACGTATGACTAGATATACGTAATATACCTAGACGACCTTGAGCTGCCGCGCGGAAATTTTACATTTTTGGCATTGTTGGTGCCCACAGCCATGCCGGATACAATAGATAACGATTGCATAGGGCCAGTGAGCACCGAAAATTAAAATGTTGTAATAGATCCTAATCATCATTAAGTATTCAAAAATGTAATGTGAACTGGAACTACTCGTAACGCTGCCTCAATGGAATAAGATAATGATCGTTTCATCCACGAAGACGCGCCCTACCAATTTTTGGTCGAGGGAAGCGCGGGATACGGGGAGTTTGATCCGAGCAATCCGAGCGTCATTATTGTAGTGTGCGTGTGCACTCATGGATAGTTTAGCGTGTACCGATAACACTCAAACATTAGCAGAAGAATGGTGGCTCGCGTCTTCGTGGATGAAACGATTTATAAACAAACTCACCAAACAGAGTTCCAATCTTCCTAGCAATGGTCGTGGTGATGATTCCTTTACCGCGCAGCCAGTCCAAGGTCCTGCTCAGGCCGATACTGAAGAACCACAGAGACAGGAACGGCAGGGCGGTTGACACTGCATTCTGGCAACACCAAGAAACATATCCTGAAGTTATGAGATATCTTGAAGAATTCTTGCTATGAGGTCACCACTACTACAGGAAGAGAAACCGGGAAGAAACAAGGGGACAATAAACTATAAGTAAATAGTTATATCTAGGCAATGTCAAGAAAAGACAAAGAAAGGAACGATAATGAGACAGCTCAAATGGGAACATTAAATCAAAGTGTCTTAGTGATGTCTTGGGATTTGGCTTCCATCCAATATTTTCAAATCATCAACAAAAAGCCTTCTGAATCTCATCATTTCAATGAGCATAATAAGCAAGTAAACCCATTGGAACCTGATTTTGTAACCGCAATGAGGAAGCTCCTTATCTAAGCTGATAGAATGCAATGATCAGGCCAAAGAAATCGAGCTTCACCCAAAATCATAAAAGCCATTTATTTTCTGCAAACAGCCTTTAAAAAGCGCTTTTACACGCCCCAGTATTATTTTGACCCTACCACTGCTTCGGGATAATAAATGGGCCAGTGCAGTGCTGAGAAGAAGCATCGCAAGAGACCGTTAAAATAAAAGTCTTACCTCAGTCATGTTGAACTTCAAGACTTGCTTCATGTAGAAGGGCAGTTCGATGAGCAGCATGTACCAGCCCCAGTTGGAGCAAGCGTGGGAAACCAGGATAGCCAGGAACGGTGGTGAGCGCAGCACGGCTGCCCACGGAACGGCCAGATTCTACAGACCAGAGAACCACATAAACTCCTGTTTGTGCACACCGTTGATTTTTCGTCGGCCGATAGTTTAGTCGGGCAGTTGATCAGTATGGGCATGTATGGGAGTGCGCACACTACGCCGATTCGATTTGACCGATTCTTCATACAAATTAAAATCGGGCACAACTATCGGCCAACTAAAAATTAACGGTGTGCGCCTACTCTTAGATTTCATTATTACTTTGTTTTATTTATTCTAGCAAATAAACGCTTCTTATTCTTGGGGCTAGCTGGCGCTGTGTGAAATTGTCCAAAGATTTAATTATTTATTTATTTTTCGCATTACTTCCGATTTGAATACGGATCTAGAAAACTAACTAGAGAAATGGAATAACGGCAATCTGATTTAGGGTGAATTCGACCGAACAAGAGTAAATATTAATCTCAGAATAAATCGTCAGTTTTGACATATTTCCCATTCTGAAACTGTCAATGTGCCAGTTATACCTACTAGAAGTTATTCTCGGATAAAAGTTTGGTCGAATCGGGCCTTAGTGCGTAAACTGCCATATAAATAGTTTTACGACTACGTAGGTATACCTACTCCACCGGACTACCCAAGTAGCAACAGATTATCTTCATAAGGCATTGAAGATATCTTGAAGACTATTAGCCTAATTCCAGCCGTTGTCTTGGCCAAGAAAATAGTCGCACTCAAGAAATCTTGAAGTTATGCCCCAAGACTAGGGTATGCAAAACCGAAAGTTTATCAAAAACCGATTTTTTTTTCGGTTTTCAAGAAAAAAAACCGGTTTTCGGTTTTTAATCGGTTATTATCGTTCTATTTTTTTTTTCAATCAACTAGTAGTTACATACAGCGATTTGTTACGTCCTGTCCGTTTTGTGTTAGATTACATTATTTAAGAGAGGGTTATAACAGTTTTGATAAATTTAGCTTATTCATTAGGCATTATAGGCACATAATGCATAATGTATAAGCTAAATTTAACTCAAGGGATGGTAGTTTATCTCCATTGTACGTAATAATTGTCAACGAATACGTTTTTAAAATTCATTACTCTGTCGGTTTAGTATTTTGTTAATTACCACCATGTACGTAATGTACCTACCTACATCAAAAACGTACTTGCTTACAATTACTATTGATATAAGCAATATCTTAATTTAAAAAGTATAATAAAATGTAAAAAGCTTTAATTTTGTGAACGCTAGGTGATTACGATTGATATTTTAAGCTATATCTTAAATTAAAAAGTAGAATAAAATGTAAAAAGCTTTATTTGTGAACGTTAGGTGGTATTTTTGTCAAATTTCAATACACTAAGTATTACAGTAATAAGCTTCTGCAGATATCGCAAATAAATGAGATTCAATGTTCAAAACAATTCAGAAATAAAAACTGTTCAATTCACTCACACATAGGTTAATTATTCACTGCAATAATCACCAACCACCGGGGATTCCCCGTTTAAAGGTAAACGACGGAGTAACCAAGTGACAATGTTGCCAAGTTATAAATTGTAAAATAACCAAATATTCGTCAAATATCAAAATACCCAGGTTATATTATAATAAAATGATATTGCTTATTTATGGAATTTGTTACATGTATACAGATAGAAAAACCGATTTAAATCCGGGTTTCGATTTTTAAAACCGGTTTTAGAATTTGTCGAAAAAGGGCGGTTTTTCCGATTTTTCGGTTTCCGATTAACCGGTTTTGCATTCCCTAGAAGACGTGTTTCGTATTTTAGTGAAATGCACCCCCTAACTATGTTAAAAAGGGGTATAAAGTTATTTTAGTGGTGATTTGCTTCAAAGTTGATATTAATTACTCATTAGTACATTTTTTTACAATCATGACGTCATGTTAACGACTACCATACTCTAGGGGCCTCCACTTAACCTCGGAGTGGGTGCCCGCTGCGTGCGCTCGCCCAACAATGCATAGTAATGCATGAAAGTCATGCCGCGGGCACCTGCTTGCGCTGTATACATAAACTCATTTTCGCGCGAGTTTTGGCGGAGGCCCTTGAGGTAGTGGGAGTAGTCTTATGGAAAAGCTCCTTCTCCCACGGCCAGTGGCATGCTGGAAGCTTGGTAATTCTAGCACCCGTAGGAAAATATAAAAAAAAGTTTACCAATAATACTGCGGTAGGTGTAGTTTTCGATTTCGTTGTAAAAAAAATAATACCACCGAGTAACTTTCACCGGATCAAAGGCCGAGCTGCATATTCATAAAATAGTTCTTAAGCTGTTTGAGAGTCATTCTAATCTCGTATAGGCTGATATTCGGTATATCTTTGGTAGAGTGTCGAGTTAGCTCAGCTGTTGGGTCTGTGGCTTACATATTAACAGGTTTGGTGACCAAGGTATGCCCTTAAAACCTCTCGGTCTCACCCAGAACCTCGGTCACACACCGTCCAACGTATTTAACTTCGTCAGCTGGCTTAGCTCAATAGAGTTGTCTCTTGCGAACACTTCGGAGCCTTAGTTCCGCTCTATCGCCTATTGAATAATAGTACTATTCGTTAAAGTTGTGAACATTTTGTCAACTTTATCTCATGTTTTTCTGATTTTCAACTTACAATTATCAAGTTCTCATAGGCTAAAAATATAACGAAACACGTCTACTGCACAATGAAAGTAAAAAATACCGAATAAAGTAACATTCTATAATTCTTTGAGGAGAGATAGACAATATTGGCAGAAAAAAATTTGTGCTCTTAACATAGGTGGTATTTCTATAAGCAAATAACTTAGGAAATACTGTGAATATTGAGATAGGAGTGTGAACAACCTGTGCCAAATTGGACTTTAAATCTATCGGCATTAAAAAGTGAAAACCGCCAAAACTTGAGATAGATGGTATTGATTCTTAACCGTCGTGGTGCTGCTATACATTAGAGAACAATTCATTTACTAACTAATTTATTAATTACATGATTTCTCCCTCGGATTGTCCGTGTGGAAGTCGAAAATGGTTCTAATAGGATTTTACGTTTTTAGTTTAGTTATCTATACTAATATTATAAAGCTGAAGANGCAAAAGCTATTTGTAAAATAATTAGACTAAATTATTAAAAGTGCCTACCCAAAGTCATTATTCCACGCGGACGAAGTCGCGGGCACAGCTAGTAATAAAATATAGGGCGGGTAAATTGCACCACCCGCATATTTCGTAAAGTATTCTTTGAACTCTGTAATTGCAACATTCAGCGATAAGCATTCTTTATTGAATATCGGCCATATGATTTTTTCCGTATTAATGAACACATGACGTATTTTATTGTGAAAAGTTTTTATTTAATTGTTTTTATGGAACTTTTTACAAATTGTGATTTTTTTAAAATTTAATCCCACAGTGTTTCTAATTTATTAAATGAGAAGTTTGAGAAGCGTAAATAAGTGTGGATTACAATTATTACAAACATTTTTCGGTAGTTATTATGTTAAGATTTTTTAAAGGTAGGCCTACTGTCGTCTAGTTAGTTAAATTGTATAATATCATGTTGTACCTAACTTTACCATACAATTTCGAAAATATTTTAGACAATATTTTAGTAAATCATGTTTTGAGTTTACTTATAATAGCATAATTTAGTATTTGCGGGCGACCGCACGCATTTTGTATCAAAAATTAATACAATAAACTGCGCACGCAGGTGCTCGTGCATTACCTTGAATTAATAGGCGTGATCCTGTTTTATCGAAATCGTCCCGTTAAGTGTTTTTTTTCTCAAAATGTACTAATTCTAGTAAAAAAGTAATTAACTTAATCTTCAGAAAACTATTTCTAAGACAATGGTCTATAGAAAGTCCTAAGTAAATCTACGAATACTTTATTTACTTTGCAACACTTAAATAATACTTTATCCATACTATTTAGTATTAAGTGAGCATACAAAAAATCTTAATTTAGTAAAATAAGATTTTTTTAACTTAAGCTAAGAATAACATAAGACCAAATTATCTAAAGAATACTTAACTTGATTTTGGGTATTCTTAATTTGCTTAAGTAGCGCTCGATGAAGAATATAAAGTCTTAAGGAAAAAAATCTCTATTCTAAGTTAATTTGGTTTTAGCTTAAGTGTAAATTTAGATAGAGTTAAGACAAGTAAGATTTTGCCATTAATACCAATTGCTACTTGGGTACAGAATAGGAACCCGACCGTGTTTTCACGGATTCAAATCAGACGTAGTGCGAAACCGCACTCACGGTTCGCATTGTAAAAGGACGCTCGACACTTAAAATATAATTGAAGCCTGCTGTGTCAACTCAAGACCAATTGGTCTGAATATTACAATTGAATCAATACCCTAAGCTACGGTCTATTTTTGGATTTGAATTGAGTATTCTTTCAGCATAGGACTTGTAAAGGCTGTTATCGACGATTGCTATTAGGTTGTTGTTTCTAAAATCTAGAGCGTGACTTACTTACTTACTTACTTTACTTCACACGACTGAAGTTTAAAATATTAGTTACTTTAAAGTTCTAAAACATCGTAGAGATCTGGTGCATACTATTATACTACTGGTATTTCTGCAATTTTAAATGTTATCCCTACTTTCTACCAATTTTTTATTATCAAAAATGGTTCTGCAATAGGTTAATAAAAACATGTGTATGCAAATTAGTTGTTTCTGTACTGCTATTGATAGCAGTTAATGGATTACATTAGCATTTTTCCATGTCGATGTCGAAGACAACGTACAAGGATATCATCAGAATCACATTATTGGAACTCCCATCGGCCAGAGGAGACCACCAAGGTTGGCAAACATGGCAGAGTAATTAAATTATGCCAATACATTAGACCCCATGACACTTTCCGTGGTGACATTGTTTGCATACCCTTGAGGATAACCTGCCGTAGCTATTGTGTTGAGAAATTGAGAGTAAATTCAAACTCGTCATAAAATCTTCAATTCCAGCACGTGCTACCAGCTACCTACTGTCATTGAGTAGGTATCGCTAACTCGGATGCCTATATCTGACAAGCGAGTAGACCGCACAACATTCGATTTTCAATTATTTTAGTTAGTTGGAAATAGAGGCACATAGCAAGAGTAGTCACATTAACATTGCGCGAGTACATTCAATTAACGCGACTAATCCCATCTCGCTTTTGCACCACTGCACCTCCTGTATAGCCAGAATTTACAGCTTGACCTTAGTAGATGTAAATTATCACTGAATTTGCAGTTAACAAGCATGCAAGCTACTTTTCTGTTTTACATGCCAGTATCGGAAAAGCCGACCTCGCGTAACGGGGTAAGGCGAGGCATAAGAAGAAGAAAGAAAAATATAATAAATAATCCTTGGACATTTTACACTGCGCTTCTAGTCCCAAACTAAGCCTAACCTAACCTAACCTCCGGAATAGTAGTCCGTTTCGAACTTTCGAACCGCTACACCAATCCAGTGAATTATCCAGTATTAGCAAAAGAACTGACCTTATGCTCAGCATGGTCACCAGCCTTTCCGCCCAACGAAGTGACAATCATGTCCCGCTCCTCGATGCTGATCAGCGGCTGCTGCTGCGGTGTGTCCTGGATCAGGAACACCCACAGCACGCACCAGATGCAAGAGAGTCCGCCCATCACGTAGAATACGCTCTCCCAACCTTTGGAAAACAAGAAAGAAATGTGAAATTGAGCCGTATCCTGAAAAAACAGTGGCTATTTTTGGTTTAAGACATACTTATATCAAAATATCAAAGATATCACTTGAAAGAAGTGTCATAGGAATTGTGTCGACCTATAGTTCGAGTTTAGAAAACTACATTCAAAACACATAGAGCCTGAAGTACTGAAGTTCAACCAGTCAACAGCCTGAATCTGTACTTGAATCATTATGAGCTTCGTTCTGCAAAACGGACCTTAGAGATACCAAAGCTATCTACGAAGGATGATGGTGATGATAACGTTTACTTGTGGAAATTCTTAGATCTACATTTTTTAACTAGAAATGTAACTTAAGATTTTTTTCTTTTTCGCCAATGACAAATTCGTGTTGGATAAACACTTGAGCCAAACTATGGCTTCTAATCTGCAATGTTCTAATGTGAAACTTGCGCGTCTAAACACCTTGTTAGGGCTGCAAACCCCTATGTTAAGACTAAGTCATTGGAACATCTTATTCTGACTATAATTCCTCACCAACTTTAGCAGTAAGTATCCCGGCCATCAGCATGGAGATGACAGTTCCCAGCGAAGTGCCGGCGTATACCAGGGCAGCCATGACAGAGCGCTCCGCAGGCGGCGCCCACTTAGAGAGAAGCACGTGCATAGCGGGGAATGTTACGCCCTGTCAAAGATACGCAGATACTGACTTCACGTAGATCATTGGTTCCCAAAGTGGGGGGCGCGCCCCCTATTGGAGGCACAAAGACCTGTACAAGGGGCGCGGACCATCTGTGTACTTAAGTATAAAAAAACCTGCGACCACTGAGAGAATGCATTCCAGACTGCTCGATACGACCAATAAAATAAATGATCTTGACTGGAGAATGGGCGCGGAATTTTTTGTATGGTCGAAAGGGGGCGCGTCTCAAAGAAGTTTGGGAACCAATGACGTTGATGTCACTTGTCTTGCCCGTGGAACCCTAAGCGGTCGCCGTAAGACCACGATAACAATTTTTGATTTCTATTGTGTCCCCATTCGCTGGTACTTGTGGTGGCAATTTCGATAAATGCCTAAAAAATTCGTCCGAAACTATCGTCAATCCTCCTACCACTTAGTCCAACGCGACTCTATTCGGACATAGGTCGCTAAGGACCTATGGATACAAACCTAACCCCAACTATTACTAAATGTGGTTAGTTACAGTCTAACCACACAAACCCAGTGCTAATCTGAAGGTCTAAGTACTAAGTAGGTCTTATTTCAGAAAGCCATTATCAAACTGTTAGCCTTTTGATTAACTAGACTAATTGAGCATATCTCAAATTCTCAAGTTTGCATCACATTAAAATTCTAAAAGACTTAAAGTTAATTTAGACGCTTATAATAAACGTCTAATTGGTTTAATTTTGTTCGAGTGTTCGCATATTAGTACATAATATTAGGTACCTTACTTTCGTTTTTAACGAAGCAGTAAAATAACAAATCTACGCAATTGATTAAAATGTTTACCAAACTTGTATTGATTATTGTGGAAAAATAGATTTAATTTTCATTATTTGGGAAATGAAACTTAATCCCCTTGGCTTACGCGATCGTATATCAGCGCCCACAAAATGTCCCTGACATTGCTTGCAATGTCACATACACGTATTATGGCATGTGGGTAGATTCAAGCTGCATACAAATGGTGAGTTTAATCCATTAAGGTACAGCGCGCGTTTTGAGTATCCATCCGGGCGCCCGAATATTTCAAATTACCATGATCTATCGAAGTATCGACTCTACCATAACTGCACGGTAAAAGTTATAATATCCTTGAGTTTCATGTGCTTTGAAGGATAAAATTACCTACATTTGAGAAAGATATGAATAGTTGACAACTACACTTCTTTCTTAACTCAACTCGTCTCTAACAACAATTGATACAATCTATTGTCAAACTCTGAACTGGCTTATTTTCTAATTTTCTCTGGCTTCATTTTCCACAAATTCATGAATGAAATATGAGTTTGTGATCCTTCATCCTTTTCAAACAGTCAGAACCCCAAGGATTTTAAAAGTTAGAAGTGGTTCTCTTCTTTTTACTGTATTGAACTTACGCCTCCAATGCCCTCGCCGATTCTCATGATCACCGCAGCAGCGTAGTGCGCCTGCGCCATGACAGGCGTCAGCAGGGTGCATATCACGTTGATCCCCACGCTGAAGAACATCACCCATTTCGCTGAGAACAGCTCTGCAACCCTCGCCCCTGGGAAAGAAATGATCTGAATTGAATATCATGTTCTTCTTTGAAATATCTAAGTGGTCGAAAGAACAATCACTAACCTGGAACCTGGGACACGAAGTATCCCCAGAAGTAGCAACTCAGCACTATGCCTTGGATTTCAGAAGACCATATAAAGGGGCCGTCCAATTCCTGAGTAGAAAGTTAGAGATGTTAGGTAATTAGGTAAACAGCATATTATGTAGATCTAACTATCGCGTATGACCTCATGAGAGAGCAAATTAGAACTCTATTCCTACTCTTCCCATGGGTGACGTAAAAGGTGGTTATGGTAAGGGACAAATCTGTGAACATCAGGCTTCCCAAACTAGTCTGACCAGGGTGGAGAGTATAGGCCAATACCTTTTGTCATTAATGTCAATCCTGCAGTGAACACTAAAAAACCTGATAACACTAATAATGAATGCCTGCAAAGGGTTCGTGCTCAATTCCCAATCTCGATCAATTTAATTAATTGAATCGAGTCGAAAATGGTCGCCTTGTAATAGAAACCCCAGCAATTCCATCCAGATGGCAATTGATGTGTTGCCGAGCGCAAAATGATAATTATACCTCATGCGAAACCAAATTGGTGGCACACTTCAATATCGTGATCTGAATTGTAAGTTTAAGTCTTATGACGAATTCGACCGTTCTGTCCATGTGTCCATTGACCGCGCATTTTTATTGGCCATGATTGATTTATATTCGAAAATAATTCAAGGCCTTCACCTCCGACCTAATTAATAGATGCCGACGCCGATAAATTCACCAACAGATATACCTTTTTTCAACAAAAAATTCAAAGAATGCTACAAGACACAAGATCTTTCCGCTGTTAAGGGTGTCTTAGAGACCCATGTTCATCATCTCAAATTGATTCTAGAAAATGCCTGATATTAGCAAAGTGAGATTCCCATTATGAACTCCCGCGTCAATGAGCACAAAAGTACCAAGATTCAGTTTATGTTTAAAATCCATAAACCCACATTGTTTCCAAAATATGTCGTATTTTATGTGGGCAATTAAACTGTTGGAATCATCCCAAAAATAAGCTCCAAATTCCAGCCCAACCATTGAACGGCCGACCCGAGGCTTCAAGGGCATCTATTTTTAGTTTGCTCCCTTTTTCCCATCAGATAACAGTTCAACGTTCGGAAATACGGTTTCCGTAGAGGCTAATTGAAAAATCATGAATATTCTTACCAAAATTGTTCCCGTAGATATGTATTACACATTTAAGTAACGTTCTACACGCCTTTACATCTTAGTATAGGCTGTTGTTGTACCTAAGAGCTTATTAGTTACTTTAAAGAAAGACAAATATTATAAGATTGTTCCTAAAACATTCTGGGCAGTACAAGGTGTTAAGTGAAACAAACGAGATACTTTTCTTACATTAAAATACTACAAAACAATGTTTTTTCGCAGAGAAACGCAGATTTCAGGTGGTAGAGCTATGGCCAGACCAATGGGAAGACTTATGGAAATCTATTTGAAGGTTGAAGGTCTATGGAAATTGACCAGAGTTCATAGCGACTCGAACAATAGAATTCGTAGTAGAGCATACCTACTTCTTAATAATAGCAAAACAGCTTAAATAGTAACGACCGATAGATTTGACTGTACATGACTTATGAGGACGAATGTATTGAAATATGTCGACATCGACACTTTTTGCACCAATAATTAAACTGTTTTCTTTCACAAATTGAAATGCGGGCATCGTTACGCTGAATTTGATGAAGGATATTGGAGTTGCGAAACGAAATAAATTATGTCCGATGCACAGCGCAATATTATTATAATGCATTTAGAGAATTGGGTCAAGAAGCTTGATGAAAATACTTTAAGGAGAGTGGGTCAGTTTCTTCTTTGCTGTCCTCAAGTTGACCTAATGTTTTCTGACATATCACAGAACTTCAACCTATAAGGCTAATAGTAAACTAGTTCACAACTTGGGGTCTTTCAAAAGACATTATAAATTACTTATCTCGTTGTTTTTCATTTATAAGTAAATCTATAACAAGCATTAAGTTACTTAAAATCTACTTATGTTTATTTAGTTAACACGTAACACAACATCAATGAGGTAGGTAAGTATCCACCTCTATCTATCTATAAATAAAGCAAATACATACATTATTGCAACTATCACAGTAATTATCTCGCCCCAAACTAAGTAAGAGCTAATACTATAGCGATTAGATAACGGATTAGATATAAATAAACAATACATTCTAATATTACATCCATGACTTTGGTGCGTGCTCAGGCATTTGTCTCCGCGGGATTCGAACCCACAACCACAGATTTGCGACAGGCGCGGATCCAGCCCTCAAAAAAGGTTGTGGGCACAGCCACCAAAAATTAGCGAAGTGAGAGTTGGATCACTACATGCCCGCACTTACATACATGCCTATCGATCTTATCAATAGATAAATCAAACAATTAAAACAAGCAAATTAGGGTTGTGGGCATGCCCACAGTGCCCACAACAGTGGATCCGCGCCTGATTTGCGAAACACTGAACCCAGGCGGCCGTCCGTAGACTTTTGGCGTCCTCGGTTGGGGTTAAGTAATCACATATTAAAGCTTGTCAAATTCTTCTATTAACCAAACTATTTGATCCTACAAAAAAAATTGCATTTTTGTGTAAAATATTGTTGCCTCACGTTGCGAAAAACTTATCAGATCTCAAGTAGAGTCAAGTTTCTAGTAATTTTAAAAGCCCTAACTTCAAAGTAATGAAAATTGAAGAAATAGCGCGTGAGGAGACTAAAATAATAATTTAACTGGAGTCCAGGGCATCGTATCCTAGGGTGATCAAAGGACACTAAATTGTAGCTGGAAGTCCACTTTGATCACTTGGGTGATCTAAGCCAGGTGATCAAAGTGGAATAGACCGATGTCAAGGAGTGCCTAAAAGTGTAGCACTTTGTGATGTCCCGCGGAATTTCAAAGCACCATTATAATAGGCGAGTTTCCTAAAAAAAATTTTTTAGTCCGTCAATTTTAATATTAAAAAATATTGGACACGTATATTTTTAATTGTCAATCAAACAAATAATTACAAAGTCACAGTGCGTTGAAGTTCCGCACGACGTCACAAAGTGCTGCACTTTTACGCACTCACTGACGTCACGGGCCTTTTCTTTAGAACTTTGGCACGCTTTATCTCTTTACATTTTCATTAGTTTTAAAAAGTGAAAAATGCGTGTCGAGTAGTTTTTGATAAGCTATCTGAAGGACTAATTATAACTCTTGCTTTTTTACCCAGGCAACATCCCTATTAACGGACTAAAAGATTTTTTTTAGGAAGCTAGTTACTTACGGTAACAGTTCCGTTAGAGTCCGTAGCTTGGCACTCCACCTCCACGACCACCTTCTCAGTGGTGTTAGGGTGGGGTTCCCGCAGCGCCAGCATCTTGACGCCGGTGTGGTTCAGCATGCCCACCATAGCCACAGACAAGTTCACCTTCAACCCATAGACAATCGCCATGCCTATGGAGCCGAGGATTGCTAGGACGTAGCGGGCTGGGACGACACCTGAAAAAAAATTGATTCTTTCCTTTATCTTTAAGCCAACTAAAAATATCGGCCAATTATCGGCCAACTAAAAATCGGTGGTTTGCGCCTAAGCCTAGGCCAACTAAAAATCGGTGGTTTGCGCCTAGGCTTAGGCGCAGACCACCGATTTTTAGTTGGCCGATAGTTGGGTCGGGCTATTGATCAGTATGGAGATGTATGAAAGTGCGCACATTACACCGATTTGGTATCGGCCTATTCTTCATACAAATTAGAATCGGGCCCAACTATCGGCCAGCTAAAAGTTCGATGGTTCGCGCCTAAGCTAAAGTATGAGACAAGTAAGGGCCCATGTACACCATTTTCTTGTAAATGCTTTGTTGCAAAGTTACCCTGATTGCGATAACATCGCGTACACAGAGCGTTCCAGTAAGAATAGAGCGTCGACGGGCGCCTGATAAAACCCGGTGTGCACGGGCCTTTATATCACAGGTTATTTTTTATGACTATTATTTTATCTTTTTAATTGAGTTACCCGCTGCTGGTGGGTATTCTTATGCAATTTCATGCATTTTACTGAATTAGGCCTGCAATGGCATAAGAAAACTGAAAACAGTAACACAAAGTGTTTTTCAGTTTGGTGTCTGGCCTGGAAAATGAACCCGGCCACCTCGATAGAGTCCAACTCTACCATGAAAGAATGATATGAATACAAGCGTACAATGACCTTTAGAATACCAGTCGGCTTAGTCGACTGATACGAGTACATCTACGGCTTTGAATGACGCAAAACAAATAATCCGCCTACAAATATGTACAGAAACTAGAATTACAACTTTGTTTTTTTTATTAAACTGAGGATATTGGTGCAAAATTGGATCTAATTACAACAACATACGTGCTACAGTGTTATACATGCCGCGCCGAACGTCTCTACCTACAAAAAACTAATTTTAGTTTTGATATAGATATGATAGCCAGTGCTTATTTGATACATAATTGCGAATAAAGTAAAATAATCATAATAATCAATGTTTCTGACCTGAATAGATAGACCTGCTAAATCTAATTTGATCTTATATGGAAGGTCCATATAAGATCAAATTAGATTATGTATACCTAATTGCCTTTAAATTACAGCTTTAGACTCTAGCTAACTTAAAATTAAGTTAATAGGTAGGTCTACCTAACTTATGTTTTCGAAAACCTGTCTTAAGCATCGTGATTCAAGTCACGTCCGCAGCTTAAATAAGCGATCCCACATTCCAAGTTAATCGGATGTATCCAGTCGAACATAGCATAATAAAATATACGGCCAAACAAGTAACAAAGCATTAGTTATTTATATGATGACCAAAGCTATAAGTACAGGGCGGAATTTTGTAATGCCACCTCGAGGGAAAGTACTCTTAATACTGTAGATAGAAAATTTTACTCAAAGAAAACATTCCTTTATTTTTTCAAAGAAATAGAACTGCATTCAAAGATTTCCGAAATTTTTTCAAAAATTTACTGCCATACCATACAATTTTCTGTGAATAATGAAAATAATGTAAGATTTCATGGTTTTCCTATCATTTAATTTATCAAGTTTGTTAGAGAGATTTCATACTTATACTTCACCCTAACGATCGATGCAATAAAAATACAGGGTGTAATTTTAACAGATTTTAGTTGGTTTGATTCCTGGGTATGGCAAGCAAATTTTTGAAAACCTTTGAATGTAGTTCTATTTCTTTAAAAAAATAAAGGAATGTTTTCTTTCAGTAAAATGTTCTATCTATAGTATTAAGAGTACTTTCGCTCCAGGTGGCATTACAAAATTCCGCGCGGGTTAACTGTATGCTCATGATTATACAGTAAGGCGATTAGAGTCCTCAATGACCTTGGGCGTTTGACCTTCACGCCGCGAGCAACACCCGCGTACCCCGCACCAAAAACTCCGATTTGACACCGATCAAAAATACACGGGCATAGGTAGATACAGAATAGAAGCTCTTTCTTCATACATTACTGCCTATTATTTTAAACTTAAATTGATGAACCTTGATNCTTTCTTCATACATTACTGCCTATTATTTTAAACTTAAATTGATGAACCTTGATGTCGGTGTCATTTAACTCAGGCGTAAAGGTATTTAATAAAAATAACAAAATCCATGAACATTTTGTACGGGATAAAATATTATTTTATTTTTCGTAAATTTTCTAATGTTTGTTCAAATTTCGAGAACGACTGAACCGACAAAGTTCAGACGTTCTCGAAATTTGAACAAACCCGACTTTATTACAAGCTTTTATTTAGCTTGCAATTTATGATGTATGTAGGTAATTACATAAATGTTTGTTCGGGTGGAATCTTGCAAGCTGAATTAGTTAGACCAACTTCCTGACGACAACTAGGCTAGATGACAAAATTTCAATTATTTGTCCGCCAGACAGATAATTAGAAAATATTAGACTCATATTTTTTATTTTCTTTCATAATTAAATAATAACAGTGCTACATCGAGTTGAAATGGCGCGATACGCCACGCTTGAGTAGAATTTTTACTCAAATGTGACGTCACGCGACATTTCAACTCAATATAATACTGTAATTATTCGATTATGGAAAAAATTAAAAAATATGAGTCTAATATTTTCTAATTATCTGTCTGACGGACTAAATAGAATTTCGATTTCATTACCCAGTCATCATCCCTATTGGAACGCATTAGTACCTACCTAGTATTGTCTATGGCCTAAAAAAGCAAATGTTTCTGCTTTTGTCTATCACTTATGAAGAATAAACTTAAAATGTATTTGTCTTTTTATTGGAAATCCTTCATCAATTGATTGAGTTCAAATTTCGGATATACATGTAATTCGGGTGACAATGCAATATTGTGATGACATGGAGCTGATCTGATGGTAGAGCTGGAATGCCAGTGGCCCCATAGCAACTCCGAGAATAAACGATTCCATCGAGTTTAGGCTCGTTTGATTTGTATTTATTTATTATTATACCTAAATAATTTCATTACAATCTTCTAAAAATGCACAAAAACTTAAAAATCTTGAAAACGGTGATATTTTTACTGGCCATAGCGAGGCCTATCGATGGTTGAAGGGTTATCCATTGTTTTTGGGACACCCTGTATAAGCAAGTACCTAATGTTATGTAAGTAGGTACGCTACTTTGAAAATCATGAGTCTTCAATTCTCTAAGGGAAACTGCAGGGTCTGATGATGGAGCTGGAATGTGGCCATAGGAATAGGCTAGTTTCTTTAAAAAAGACTTTTGGTCCGTCAATTTTACATTATCAAAAAATATTGGACACCGGATATTTTTATTTTTCAATTAAACAAGTAATTACGAAGATAATGATGCGATGAAATTCCGCGTGACGACACAAATCGCCACATTTTTAAGCATGCCTTGACGTCATGTACCTCATCTTCTGAACTTTGGTGCGCTTCATCTCTTTAAATTTTCATAAGTTAAAAAAGTGAAAAATACATTTAGAGTTTTTTTTTTGGTAAGTTCACCGACGGACTTATTCAAACTAATCGATTAAGTTACAGATTCTGACTCGCTCCTAATTTGGATACTGATTGCAAAGGCCTAGTAAATAAATAACGTAATAATTTTTCTACTTGTATTTATCTAGTGCAGTTGTTTTGGAGTCAATTATAGTTTTTTTACACTAATAGATTCTATTCAGGTAGAAAATAGCGTCTGAGCGCGTCATAATTCAATTGTATTGTCTGACTGCACCTACTCTATGAACAATTCTGCCATAAAATCTATTGTCGAACAAAAGCTGGGTTGCACCATCTTACTTCAACTTTGACAGGCGTCAAAAGTGTGTCTAACTCCATACAAAAAACACCGGTTATCGCCAAAGCTTCGGTCAAAGTTAGGTCACGTCAGGTGGTGCAACTTAGCCAAAGAAAAAATTCATTTTGATCGCTAATGTCAGTTTGTAGCGAGTGACACAACCTCCCCGTCTGAAGGCCAGCGGCCGACTGCCGCCCGCACCCCGCTCAATTACATTATGGAACCCCTTGTAGGGCCCTCTCCTCCCCCTAGACGGAACGTCGGATGGCAGCATGTCACGTGACTCTGGGTACTCGATTTGGTTCTTACTAAAAGAAGCTAAATCAACAGTGGCACAACATGGATGAAGTGGGTTTCCGAGAGCCTCCCCCTGCATTGAACCTTCCCCGGGACAATAACCATCGGGAGGCGTTATCGTAGGGGGTTTCCGGTCGCTCCGACCGTTAACACGTTGAGTGCCGCGGGCTCCGTGCACTATACAGGTACTCAGCTGCATCGTCGGTCTTGATACGCCCTTAGGCCTTACCTTCCCCTGGAGTACTAGGTCTGCTGTTTCTACCTTCATCAGCTCTGCCTTGCCGGTGGTAGATAATTCGAAGCTGGTGATGAACGGATGCCAACGTCGCGGCCCATCGTTGAAACACCAGCTGCTCTGCGGTAAGTCCAGCAGGATACCAGCTTTGGTAATAAAATCTCTACCTAATAGGGTTCTTGTTCGCGCGTGTGGTAGCACGTCAAAGTTAGGTCACGTCAGGTGGTGCAACTTAGCCAAAGAAAAAATTCATTTTGATCGCTAATGTCAGTTTGCAGCGAGTGACACAACCTCCCCGTCTGAAGGCCAGCGGCCGACTGCCGCCCGCACCCCGCGAAGGCCCCCTCAACAGCAAAACGTTCGGAATTTATCAAAAGTAAAATTTATGAATGAAAGTAATGTTCGATTGAAAAACGCAACGTGTCATTTAAAGATTAAAGAATACCCAATCTATTCGTGCAAAAATCTTTTAAATTAACATAGCCGTTTTGGAGGAGTAGGGAATTTAAGTAAAAAATCGATGTCCCGTATTTATTTTTTTAATCCAAAACAAAGAGACGTAGCGAAAATTCAAACGTCACAAATGTAGTCCTTGAAATGTTGTATAACATATATTTTTTTCAACTATTTCTGTCCAGCAGTAAAAGAGGAGTAGTCTTTACAAAA